CAGGGAAACGGCTAAGCCCTATAAATTCATTCTGGGCGTTGACCGCTGACGAACCGTTTGCTCAGCGATACATTTATGATTTGTAAGCGTTCCCAGAAACCTTGCAACAGTGCATACGACTGAAGGGTGTTCATACAATAATGTACCACGTAAAGCCGGCAATAACCAGCACTGCGTTTTTGTCGAAGTAATAATTATTCAAGTTTTCGACATTCAAGCAGCAAAGCAAGAGGAAATACAAAACCTGTAGTCAATGAAAGCACTGCATCGCGAAAAACATACCTGGTCGCAGCTGTTTTTCCCTTTTTGCGATCCACCGGCGTCTGAATTTTCTTGCTTAAGCGATCGCACCGGCACTGGCGGCACATCCCTGGTTGCACATCGCTTTGACAGATACAGCAAATACCTGTACTACAGAAACTGGTTTTCTACGCGACAGTAAAAGTGTCAGCGAAAAGCAGCATGAGTTCGTGAACCCATGAAAGTTCACCGATAAATTCAAGCGGCGAAGTAACGTTGCTTAAATTCACATTACACGATACCCCTGCTAGCCAGCCATCAAACGAGCAAAATACTGCCCAGTTAAAAAATGCACTGCCAGTCATATCCGACCAAAGGTGAAATGAAGTTAACTGAATCTAGGGTTATGAAGCCAACAATTAGCCGGGAAAACCTGATGTACTTTCCTAACAGGCTAATACAGTTCCTCAACGTTTTTTTCTCCGCCCAATATGTCTTCGTTCTAATATACAGCTATTTATCTTACAGCCACACACTACTCATACCAACAAATTTTCCAAAAGTCTGCCCCGTGCAGTACTCGTATCAAAACTATCATCCAGTGCATTAATTAATACTACGAGTACTGTAAAACACTATATTCCGTCATAATACTGCAACTTTTACTAGCTATCGTATGAGACGATATGATACTCTCAAAAATTCTGCTTATAATATTCATATTCACTGGCCACCGATCAAGCTTTTGTTGTGTTACGATTAGTAAAAAGATTATTACACCGGTTTACCAGGATTGCCGGCAGAATCTCTACCGGACTACTTACTCATCACCAGGAATTTAAATAGGGTGGCACATGGAATCTCTTGGCTCCGGCTGCACTATAAGTGGAAACCAGTGACTGTGAGCCGGCTGTTGAGTAATCGGGTTTCGTAACATTCATCCGTACGCCTTTCATACTGATGAAAGCGCCCATAGGCGAATACCGGCATCATAATGGCCAATTCTACTCGAGAAACTTTCTTCCGGGATTGTTGCAAATGTCACCACGGCCATACAAAAATGCTAGAATCGGAGTTTCCCACTCGTCGCCCACACAAAATTCAACCGGTACGAAATTCTTGCCGATAAAACCCGCAAACCTAAAAACTGTCAAGACACAGACTTTGACCTCTGGTTCAACACTTACCACATCGAAAAGGAAGTTCCGGCTGATAAATCCTAGTAAAGGCGGTGACCGCCGCAATTCTTTCCCAGGTAAGTCAATGGGAATACTGACGTCACTTCCGGCCGCAGTAACACGCACAATGGAACTCATTGTTTTACCGCACTGTGACGGTTTACTACGACCCGAAGCAAGGCTACCAGAGACTCAATCCAAAAAAAAAACGCCAGATTCCATCCAAAGCTGCAACAAGGAATATGGCTTATCACAGAAACTGAAAGCAGTGCCGAAAACAGGTCGTCAGAGAAAATTTGTCAAACAACATTTGCTCCGTGCTACACCAGACGACGATGTCGCGATATTTCGGCAAACTAACATTGCGTTGTCCGTTCACCCATGCAGTACTTGAAAAATGCACTGCACACGATATATACTCACAGCGCTAATTCCCCTGCTTGCCCGTAACGGGTGATGCCGCCGGTTTATATGCGACGTGCACATTACGTGTTATAAAGTTCAAACAGATAGAAAGAAACCTACAGATACTCATATTGGCCTGACTCAACCACTGCGTTACTGAGTTCATTCTGATTAGTCGCAAAAGCCGGGCCAGCGACACTCGGACGCGCATGCGTTGCACCGACGCACTGAGCGAGATGGCACTCTAGTTCTTGTGAACTGTCTGGCAGACTGGTGCGTATACAGTCAATCGATGCATGCTTATATACCGGCCGGGCTTCCAGCTGGCCAGGCCAGCTGAAGCGACGCCATCGTACGTTGCACAGGCGCAAAAAGTCTTTTTAAACACTGACACGGATGTACGACGCCAACCGCAGCTCATACACGGAGACGGCGTGCACCGGCCTTTCCCGTCCTGCAGACCATTCTTATTCAGGTCGTCTGCCTCTACCTACGATAGAGGCAGACGAAAGTCTCTTGATAGAGCGGCTCTATCAAGAGACTTTCCTCTCCAGGGAATAAGCACGACTTCCCCTTAGGTAATCAGTCAATTCGCACAAGTTACCGCCACTAGATTCAGGCTCGCTTCTGGGAAGATCACTTAGTCTTTTCTTCACTCTTCTGCACTCCTGCAGCATATCCAGGTACGCGCGTTCCCGCTGAGGGCACGCAGGACACGTGCCGCTGGCTGCAACGCAATGAGCGGACACGGAGAGGTTATCGCGGTTCGCGCTACAGCCAGCCACTATTTCTCGTATGTGTCAGTATGCAGAAAAACCCTTCACGTGAAATCTCCGACTTACTTACCAATTCAACGAAATCTCTTTTCAAAGCTTTAACACCATTAAGCATTCTCACGTAATACGCCAAAGGAATTCCGAGGATTCACGTGGCTAATAATTCTTTTAACGATTAACACAGTCATTTAAGCGGTTTATCTGCATAAAGCCGATTCACAAATTTCCTCATCAGTCACCTTGCGATGAATGAACCGAATCAATGCATCAAAGGATATTCTACGAATCATTCATTGAATATTGATTCATTAATTTGCATTCTGCAGCCTGGCTATCAGTGAATGGGATTTGAGGCCATATAACAAGAAAGCATCGAAACTTATTCTAAAGTAATAAATTAAAAATGTTTAAAATGTAGCTTATCCAAGAAAGAATGGAGCAATCGGAGCACAAACGTTTTAAAATGCATCTGTTATAACTAGGTGCCTAACCACAAGCACAAAGGGATGGCGACGTATGCCTACCGTTTTACCTAGTTACCTTTCAAGTCAATTCTGCGAAGTGCGAATCTGTACCAAGGTTTCATTCCATTTCCAGGCATACGAGTACCGCACGACAGTTGCGGCGAATCAATCGCTAACGGCTATCCCAGTCTTATGATTATTTTTGGTTATAAAAATAATCTTCTAAATAAGTAACAATTTGCTATTATGCAACGCGTTTTCGATGAAATTTCAAATCAGAAGGAATGGAATAGCAGTATCGAAAACTTACAAAAGTTTCGCCGCTGGTGATCGGAACAGACAAGCAGATAAAGCACGCAATTAATAACTGATTAAAATGGTTCTGTGACTGGGTGACTCTGTCACACAATATAACAAGAACACTGCTAAAGCGCATGTTACGGCAAGTAAGCAATAGACTTATAAGCAGACCGGAAGAAAATATTACCGGATAAAAACTGCAAAACGTTGTCCTTCCGTCCACATGAAAGCAAGCATAATACAGCGTCTAAATTAACAGGAAAAATCGTATGTACGAGGATTGTGATTGCGGTACCGGGTATGGCCCATATCATTCTACCATTGCACTTCGTTACGGAAAGTACCCAGACATTCTTGAAACTTCACCATGCCGTCCATGCAGAGACGGCATGACACAACTTTAATGCAACTTGTGAGCAGACTGCGGGTATGGGCTACGGCTAAAGCAAACAACGCTTCTGCATTAAAGATTGATTTTGACAATCGGTCGTTTCATGATCGCCGTGCGTACGTTTAGGTACTACCACTTAAAAAATTCTAGACATCGCTGGCACCGACAGGAAACTAGGAACGACTTCACATTAATAATAACATTCTGTTTACTTACTTATTAAAAACGCGTCGAATAACGGATCCGGCAACGTACGTTGGGTCTTGGCTCCATATTTTCCACATTCATGGCTCGGTCGATATCACAATATTTGGACCATACTGCAATATAATAATTGGTAAAAGTGAAGCATTTTCTAATTACAGATTTTAAAGTAAAATATTTGTCGCGTTAAAATAGCCCAGGCCCGCGAAACGCAATACGCATAGGCCCGCGAATTGAAAGTGCTGAATTTAACTAACTTTTAAGTTAAATTTCAGTTCGAAAAGCTACCTAGCAATACAACGGTAAAGAACGTATCACGGTACCACATAAAACTTAGCTACGCCCGCTACCGTGTCCGTAGGCAATGGACAGAAAGCATAATTTGTAACTTCCTGGTCAGTAGTCACTCCTGGCTGACTACAATATGACTAGCAAGCATAACGATACTGCACTATGTACATAACTGCAGTCTGGATTCGCAACAATGCGATGGTAAATTCCGTGGGGAACAGAATCGCCAGCGGCTGTGCAATCTGCGCTGACCAGCCAGTCCAGCCTGTTTATATGGGTCAGTGAAGTTAAAACTATGGAGGCAGGGCATCGGACCAACGTCTACCGCCCTATCCTGACAAAGTAGGGGGTTATGACGTCTTTTGGAAGTTTTGTTCAGGCCGCCATCGCAGAGGGGTAAGCTACTGCCTATTGGTAAGTACAAACTGCACAGTGCACAGTGGCAGTAGTAAAAATTGCACGGTACTGTATTTTTATTAGTAGGCTTTTCAGCCTTTATTCAAGTAAATTTTTAAGTCTGTTAACAATAAAAAAAAAGCATTAATGTGTATAGTTTTCTTAGAAATCCGAAGAAGTTCAGAACTAACTGCGAAGATTAAATTTTATGCTGCTATCATCAGCAAATTACAGTAAGTACTACTACTTACATACGTGTCGGACCTACTGTCGCTCGTCCAGAAATTAAAATTCAAAACTCCAGCCAATCAGAGACATACACGAGTTGCCACGCCTGTAATCTAGCCGGTGCATACGTCGCTGATTTGATCGTTGTTGTTCAGATTTAGCTAGCTAGAATAAGTACGTTGTACAGTATTTACAAATGATTGATTTTATTTTTTCATTTCTACGGTAAAATTTGAGCTTTGAAACGAGTCGTAACTGATCCAGAAGGCTGAGACTTCTTAAAATTCGCCAAGACTTTGAATGCGACATATCTGCGCCGCGCGGCATTAGGCAATGATGTTCCGAGCCGTACTCGGGGTTTTGGTCTCTATCGCCTGTGTGCAGGCTCTCTACGACGGAGATTCCAACGTGATCGAGCTGACAACGACGAATTTTCAGAAAGAAGTAGTGAAAAGTAACGATCTTTGGATTGTGGAGTTTTTTGCGCCATGGTAGGTGTATAGATACCAGACGCTTGGTGTGAAAGAAAGGTTTAAAACAAGGACTCTTCCTAATTCCAGGTGTGGGCACTGCAAAAGTCTGGCTCCTGAATACGCCAAGGCTGCTAAAGCTCTCAAGGTAATGAAATAGCGCAATTTCGGCATTTACGAAAATTATCAGTTTGCTTTAGGAGTTTTAAATGAATTGGAGTTTCAGTAAGGATGGCATGAATGCTTTTAAGTCTGTTTTGGTCTGTTGCTTCAGAAAATTTGCCTGCGAATTATAGTGATAATTATTGTTGTTGTTGATTGCTCGTTGGTATAGTGCTTGTACGTGTCTTGATGTAGCAAATACATAGAGAAATATTTTCAGGGATTTATCAAAGTCGGCGCTGTGAATGTGGACGATCAGCGATCGCTCGGGCAAGAGTACAATGTGCAGGGCTTCCCCACCATAAAAATCTTCGGCACCGACAAGAAGAAACCCGAAGAGTATAGCGGACCCCGCACGGCGGAAGGCTTGATTGACGGCGCTTTTAAGGCCGCCCGAGCAGCCGCCCTGGGCCGCATCGGGAAAAAGGCGTCTTCTGGCGGCGGTGGGGGCTCTAGCGGTGGAGCGAACAATAAAGGAAACAGCGAACCCGGTGGCGGCAAGGATGTTGTTAAGCTGGATGACTCTAACTTTGAAGAGCTGGTATTGAACAGCGATGAACCGTGGATGGTGGAATTCTACGCTCCGTGGTGCGGACACTGCAAGAGTTTAGCCCCGGAATGGGCCAAAGCCGCGTCGGAATTGAAGGGGAAAATGAAGCTGGGCGCGTACGATGCGGATGCGCAGAAGACCTACGCCGGACGCTACCAGATCCGCGGCTTCCCCACCATCAAATATTTTGCGGCGGGCAAGAAGGACGATCCCCAGGATTATGATGGACCCCGGGATGCCAGTGGCATAGTAGCCTGGGCCAGCGACAAATCTGCGGATAGCGCGCCCGCACCGGAGTTGTCAGAAATCGTCGGACCGGAAGTCGTTAAAGCGTCTTGTGAAGGTCAACCGCTCTGCATCATCTCAGTTCTTCCGCACATTCTGGATTGTCAATCTAAATGTCGGAAACAGCACTTGGAAATGTTAACTAAGATGGGCGAAAAGTACAAACGCCAGCGATGGGGCTGGTTGTGGGCGGAGGCCGGCAGTCAGCCGAAGCTGGAGGAGGCCATCGGATTGGGCGGTTTCGGTTATCCCGCCATGGCAGCGGTTAGTGTGAAAAAGGGGAAATTTGCACACTTGAGACTGTCCTTTAGTCAAGATGGGATCAACGAATTTTTGAGGGAATTGGCTGCGGGAAGGGGCTCAACAGAACCGATTAGGGGCGGAGCGCTGCCTAAGGTGGAGAAAATTGAGGCGTGGGATGGGAAGGACGGGAAATTGCCCGTAGAGGAGGATATTAACTTGGATGATATCGAGTTGGATCCCATAGCAAAAGAAGAGTTGTAGATTTTGTCTTTCTTTGTGATGACACGATGCGGACATATACCCGAGCACAAGAACATAGCTTGCTGATGTTTGGTCGCCAGTTTTGTTATCGTTTGTTGAATAATAGATTTTGTTGTTTTATTCTTCTGATTTCCAGTTTCTTGATTGATAATACGTTAATGACTATGCTTTTATTGCATGCTGCCACATATCGTCCAGATTACTGCACAGGGATGCAGATTTAATTCCATTTGATCCCTGTTAAATGATTGTTCGCGAATTAGCGTGTACCACAGTAATTTGCGATAAAAATCAGTCATTTCGGACCCATTTTCTTAAATACCATAATTTTTGTTCCAAAACATGCCTCCTGTAATTATTTGTTCAGCAATACACGTGCGTCGGTAACGTTCGGTAATCGCCATTAATCGAGCAGCTGCGATCAGTTTGTGCACATTATTTCAAAAATTTTCCCATGAAAATCCAAATTTGTGTTGGCCGCACAGATTCCGTATTTGATCCTCGAGAGCGTGTGTTCCACAATAAAACACATTCACCTTCCCGCGTTTCTGAGCGTCCAGATCGGTGAACACTTTCGGCCAGTTGGGTCGCCCAGGCCGAACGGACATTGTCAAATTATCGCTGCCGATCGTCCACCTGCTGCTGGTATGCGCATTCTACAGAAAACAAAATTTTCTCAAAATCGACAATTGTAAAGGTCGGTTTCTGCACGAGTACAGCGTGCAGTACTTAATACTACTTATTAACCAGGAAAGTTCACTGAGTTCTGGCGGACATTGTATGACCGAAACGTAACAGGTGCCAGGGGTACATGATACATAAATGTGTCAGGTAATTGGTAGTACAGTACCAGTAAATTAATTTTATAATTATTTTGTTCTCTACTTATCAGCAAAAATTTGCAGAATGGATGTTACGTACGAGTATGAACTATGAAGTACAGTAAAATCCTATAACCGGTAAAACCGCCCGAACAGATGATTATTTCACTGTTTTCGAGATAGGCCAAATGCAATAAGTTTCGGTGGGGGATTTTTGCCGGCAATACTCAAAAATATGCTGAAAATCCTACTGGACGGTACTAGAGGGAAACAGTTACGGCCCGAGTTACGGCGAACTGTTCTTCTGAGCCGGCGGGTGCGTGGTTTTGCAGGTTATAGATGTGTTACTTCAATTCCATAATTTTGTCTGTGGCGAATCGCGCTCGTCACATCGAGCAGCGTGTGTGAATTTTTTCCTACCAGACTTTATATCTATATTCTAGTCTCATGGAGTGGTTACAGTAATCAAAAGCTTTTGGAGCAATAAATGTAGCATTGATAGAATGGGTATCGGTAGTCAAAGAAAAAAATCCACGGTTACCACAAAGCCGCGAGTGTACACGGACACTACAGTGCCTTTTGCCCTTTCAAGTGAGGTGTAGGTGACCATACGGATTGAAGACACGGTTATGTACATATGGCGCACTGTGAAGATGCACAACGCTAATGTTGGATTATCAAAAAAATACGAGTATATCCCTGAAAATTCGATAGGGAAGCCTACATATATATGGCCACCGTGCCCCTGGATGCTGCATAAAGTTTGGCAGCTGACAATCTTTAACAGTCCCTGCAGGGACTGTCGAAAGCCACATTTTTCACATAAACGCTGAACGTAGAAGAACTTCGCTACGTTTCTGTCGACCAAGTTTCATTATAAAGGAAAACCTTTATAATGAAACTTTGTCGACAGAAACGATCCCGGCCCTGATTAAATGTTGTCAATATTTCATGAAATTGTACATCGAGCGACGTAAAATTTGTACAAATACCTGTTTGCCTGTGGTGACATAAATATGACAGTTTAGGAATACTGAAGAGGTTTTCCCAAACCCGGATTGTTGCATTTCCCACGCATGGAAAAGGTCATGAAACCATTCCATACTTTCGATTTCTCTTATCACCCAGATAAACTCAATTTTCCGTAACTTTAAACGACGTCCATCGATTCGCATAGGAATGGAGGGCGTTATAGTTGGGAATTCATGCTCGCAATTAGGACATTTGGAGTGGTTGTTTCGTTTGAATTCTGATAAGAGGGAACTTAAAACCGATGCAAAAGGAGTGACACCGATACCGGCACTAGAGAGATACAAATATATTACAGGCATGGTCAGTATAAATTTTTTTGCATAAGAACATCCGATTTTAATCTAATGTGCGATGATTATTTCATAATGAACATTTCTATATTGCTAATAATTTACTGAAAATTTAATACTGTGCTGCAAATTTCGTTTTTATCGTACCATCATGCAATGAATGTCTCCTTACCATATCAACACAGCGTGCTCGGAGCGAAACAATTCCCTGCTGGTGCTGCCGTACGGCCCGTCCACGAATACCGGCACGTCCAAGTTGGTCAAGAAACCTTTTCCGTTGTTAATAGTTAATGCTATCTCTGACCCTGCAGCTCTGTTTGTAGGATCAATAACAATGACATTGGATGGATTGGTATCCTTGTTTGTTGTAGTAAAATCCAGCCGTTTCTCGAATTTGCTTCTTAAGCTTTTTGTGTAGTTTCCGGAAGCTTTGATATGGAACGTTATAGACTCTAATAATAAATAATTCATCCGTTATTCAGAATTCGATATAATTTTATTGCGACTTAAGAAGTATATAGATATGGTGTACTTGTATGTTACGTTATTATTAACTGGAAAGTATACTGTTTTGTATATGTTAGCTGATAACGTGCTGATACCGTGATAAAATGGAGTGGTCAAGGGTGAACTTCGTCATACCTATTTGGTCAGGACTGCTGCTCACAGTAAACGGATGCCACGAAAATATGCCAAGGGATGGAATTTTTAGAAAACAGTAATCCCCTGGCATGTAATTAAAACCGTTCGGTCGTTTGATCACCAAGTTAGTCACCTGAAAAAAATGTGTGGACTGATGGAAAAAGGGTAATTCATCAATAACCCCCGAGATCTTAATAACAGTCGCTGCATTGTGTAAACAGTTTTCAAGCTTTTTTGCTTACCTCCGCAGGAAAGAGCTTCACTTCGGTAATATGACTGGTTCTGCTCCATCGCACCGCATTGATATACTTGCGACTTTTTTCGATAAGATATAAACAAAATGGGATAATGAACACTTTCCAAAAGTCCGGTGCGTGTACAATTAAAGCAGCCCAAACGACAAACTGTAGTTTATGCGTCCAGTAAAACAAGTCATACGCGCAAGAACGACGGATTGGAGGTAAAGCGAAAAATGTCATCACCGCAATGCATGATAAGGCAATCCATCCACTTATTGCGGTAAAACCAAGGAAATCCGACCCAGCGAGGCCTGACTAAAATCCAGAAGTGTTTTTTAGCTTTATTATGAAATAACTAACCAGGGTGCACACGCCAAGTTGTCACCAAAACTTTAATGTTTTATTAAAAATTTCCGGCACACCCTAGAATTTTTATTTAATTTTACCATAATCACAATTTCTCTCCTGCATTATCTGAATCTAAGATTGCCAATAAGTAAGCGTTTTTTGACAAGTTACGCCAGAAAACTCGAACGCCACATGCTTCGCAGTACCTCCCGACCCGTCTACCGTGGTCGCCTTCCGTGCGCCCAAAATTCGTTTAAAAATCGAGGTCATCCGTTAGCTAATCGGTAACAAGGCAAAACTTTTTAGCATTCATTACTGTCTCGGGATGTATATCACCCGATTCTCTCCGAACCCCCGGGAGGTCACAGCTGCGACTTAAAAATAAGCACCGCCAAAATGGGGGTGCACGCCCTTCTAGCGATCCCCACACAAAAGAGAGATGTCATCCCTACTCATCTTTGACATAATATGATTAGGGACATATGTGGCATCAGTTTAACGTTTGCTCGAGCAGGTAAAAGCGGCTCATTCCGTTCCAGCGAATCCCCATTGGGCACATAATTTTGTATGGCGAACGCTTTATTGATTTTTTCTTCTGCTCGTTGGTGGTTAACAGTAAATCAGGAATGTGATATATATCCTTGTTTACTTTAGAATCGTTTAGAATGATCCCCTCCGCACAATTTTTAACGATCATTCGAACACCTAAACGTTCCATGTATTTCCAAAAAAATCTTCGCCGCTCGTACCGTATAGCATTGTAAAAGCCTGACAATCTCCAACAAAAATTTTTTATAAATGAAGTAATGGTTCCACTGCGTTGGCTCACTTTTTCAACGCTTACCTAATGTGTTCTGAGCTTGTTTAAACTAATTTCGAGAGTAGAAAGTGTTTTCCTGGTTTTCGGATAAGGTGAGTATAATGACCAGAAATGCACCACCAGGGATCTCACTTCGGTCCTTGTTTCTGACGCCAGTTTCAGAGCCAACGGTCAGATAACAATTTCAGTAAACGCAGAATTAAATTCTGTACCAGAAACAAACAATTCAACTGGAGTAAGTGAACTTTTTCTAATTTTTAAAAATGCATTTAAGTGATGGTGACAACTTGGCGTGTGCACCCTGTAAGAACCAAAAAATGTGACTCGTTACTATCGAGCACTTACTCGACGGCCAATCCTATCAAAATGCGTACGCATAATGTCCAGATTGCATGCTTTTATTTCAAATTTGCGATGCAAATGGTTAACAATTTATATTGCACGAATGTAAAAAAAACTGTATAAGGCTCGTATGTTTGGCTCAAATATAAGGAAAAATATATTAAAAATATAAGGAAAGAACTTAAACTGTTAAAAGAGGTGATTAATTAAGTTGTTAATTAAACATACTAATGGCATTAACTACTTATTCGCCGTACCTTGGTTAATACTGCCGTTAAAGTGATATTGAAATGCCGCCATATTGGATCGTGTACTGCAGATTGATCTGAAATACGGAATCATTTGAAGAGCTTGATATTATAACTTCAAAAGACTATGGATACTTGTATATACTGCACGCAAGATACCAACAGCCGCATAAGTTTGGGTTGTTGTGCATTAGTTGTATTTGTGAGCAATTTACGGGCTAGACGAGCAAGAAAGCAAAACCAAGCGCGCAACACGCTTTTAACAATAAAATGAAGACAAACTTACAAAACGAAATAATCATAGCGGTTATGTGTCCTGCTATGGCAACACAAGTGGTCGAAGCTATGATAATATGGAAAGTGATGGCCGAATCAAATGGAAAAAACCTGGACAACCATGTTTTTCGCAGCGATCCCATGATCCATCGAAGTGCCGGTCCCAGCATCAGTATGCCACAGTTTACCTGCAGTACCATTCCGAAGCCCATACCAATTAAGCTGCCGACACTAAATTTCAACTGCGGATTCGCCAGCATGACGTATACATAATGGTACACGCCCATTCCAAAGGCAAAGATTTGGAATAAATAAAATAATACAATCCACATAATCTGACGTTTATAGCATCTCCAGAAAGTAGAAAGTTTGTGACCCAGTGTATGCGGATGGGAATCTACAGTATCTACGGGCGCCGCCGGATGTGACGTTTCCTTTGCTGGTGCGGTGGTCATCACCTCTCGCGGATTCTGAATAATGACTTCCGCCATTTTGTCAATCTCCTGATCGGTGACAGACAGTCTATGCCGATCGGCTAAGTTTCTTAGACTGTGGGCAACAGCAGCTCGGTTTGGTTGTTTTCCCGAGTCTTTCTCGTAATTCTCAAATAACTGTGATAGGGGCGGATGACCAGGGTGAGCTGTTTGGGATACAAAATTGATAAGGTAACAATTTCTGTACTTTGGAGACTTAGTTGCACTACATCGCTAAACTGCCTTTATGATATCCGTCACAGGAAGTGCTTATAAACGTTTTAAAAATTAGCGGTTTACCTCTGTTTCCAGGCATGTTTGCTGATGATGTGTGGAACTGCAAACCGGGGTCAAGTGTGCACTCCAGTCCCCGCAAGCTGACACTATGTACATTTAGATTTCCGGTAAGTGGGACGAAATCTACGCCGTTGGAGTATTGACCCTGTGAGTGAAAAGATGTTCTGGGGACATATGGAGCTGTGCACTGGGACCAGTTTGCAGTTAGGTGCAATACAGTGGCTGGATGTAAGAAATTTCAGAATGGGCTGTACGTACCATATGTTTTATGGGCGCGCACACTTCGGCTGACTCGTGCCGTGAGCGTTTCTGGTAGTGTTTATTCTCCTTTAGAATTCAAACAAAAAAATGCCAGTCAGCGGAATATCCTCTGGATCTTTTGTATAGGGAATTCAAATAGGTGTTCTTAATCGACCTGAACCGTGTGTACGCATTACCATGTGTATGACCTTGCACATTTTTTTATCTGTGGAAAATATTAATACACCATGTGTCTTCTTTGACCAAAGCTTTAGGCTTTTCTACAAATACAATGTGGTTGCAATACTTCTATACAAAGTACATTCCTAATTCTAAAACATTGACTAAAAACCCGTTATGTGAGTTCACCGTCGCAAGCATCTTCAAGGTGGCGACTGGTGAGATCATTTTTCACATGGTGCTTGCAACTGACTGGTTGAAAAGCTTACAATTAAAACTACTTACTTCTGTTGTGCCTGTTGGTAACTAAAAATCTAGTTTTGTATAAGGTGGTCGGTCAATATCATTGTTTTGCGGCGAACAAAACTACGTCATTGACGTTGAGTCCGAATCTTGCAGTTTGTAATCCTGGAATACTGAAGAAATCCTTTCCAGTAAATTCCAGTACCGGCAATTACAGGAGTAATTCGATTTATATTCTATCTAACCAAATAAAATAACTAAAGTAAAACTCAACAGTGATCGACCGGCATATATATTTGTTACAACTAATCTTATCAGATTCTGTTAATGGCCCTGCAGAAGCTACGTAGTATTTCAAAGTATGAACATTTATGCACTCTATGCATGGCCAAATGATTTGCAGATAAGACCACGTCTGTTTTAGCTTGCCATATTCAAAATATTCCCAAAGTTTAATTTGTCTGAAATGCGCAATTTGCACGTTAAGTTTATTTATATTACCTTTATAGTATTATAGTTGCTTGTCATTGTAAACTGTAAACTGCGTGGCTCTTTCGAAAAAATCTGTACATTCTTTTACTGACAAAAAATTAATTATAATGCAGAAAGTTTTGCGTGTGTGCTATTCGATCTTCAAGCGAAGGCAATTTCCTTTTGTTTCAAAGGATTTTATAGGAAATTGCTGTGTATCGTCTGGATTGCTGGCAATGGGCGATGTAATTCAACAAAAATATGAAATCTACTCGAATCGTCAGAAGCATTTTGATTATTATCGAGCCTTTACAATGGCATGCGGAGGATTTGCGGTGGGTGCTTACTGCCACCACTTTTATCGCTTTCTGGACAAACTTCTACCGGGAACTTCTCTCAAAATGCTAGTCAAAAAAGTAGCACTCGACAATATTCAAGCCCCACTACAGTTTGCCATTTTATTTGGTGTTATCGCATTAGCGGAGAATCATACGTTTGAGCGTTATCGTCATGACCTTTGGAGCAAAGGCGGTCATTTATACTTGGCTAGTTCGTGTATATATGTGCCGGCACAGTTCATTAATTTCTACTTTTTACATCCCCGATTACGAGTTGTGTTTGTTAGTGTACTTAATCTTTGCTTCGATACTTATTCTTCCTTTGTGGCTTATTCCAAAGACCGCACAAAGCTCTTTTTTGAGGAATAAAATGTCAATACTGGCTAATACGTACGCGGCCCAGTTTACAGAGTGATATTAATAGTTTTGTTGATATTTTTCAGCGTGCTAGTATGCCTTTTTTTCACTCACCTATTATTAGTTGTTGTTATGCTTAACAAATACTGACATTAGATTTACTAATAATATCTTAATCACATGGCAAGACAGTTGCTCAATTTTACAGTTCTTTGCGACAGAATTAATTATCTAACTACTGTCTATCGTATAATAACTATTTACTGGTATCTAGCTACCTAGTATATAAGTACTGAAACAATCGGTATTTACCAAAATTATCGTTATTCGGTCGATGTCAACATGTACAGACTTAACATGTGTACTGGAAGTGAATTTATAGCCAAATAATCGCGGAATTTGCTTTCATAAATCATTAAAAAGACGGACTTTGCGATTCATAACGCATTGGACTTTTTTACGCCTATGTGAAGTCTCATCAGGACTACTGTTCTGCTGTGTGGAACATAACGTCAGTGTCCTTACGCGAAAAACTACGGTAGCTGCCACACACTGCAGCGGCATTCGATCAGGTGGTCGCAAAATACCCGAGAACGCCAGTAGCGATGCTAATATGGATCGGATCGGAATATTTTTTACGAACCTCTGTTCGGTTTAAGGGCTGTGATCTCTAAATTAATAATTTTTTTGTCGTTCAGCCAGGTTTAAAATCTCATGTTTAATTGCTTACCTAGCCGTAAATGGACTACCTGTTATGATTACTTACAATTAAATTTGAATTTAGTAAAATCCTGGCTTATGGATGGGCTCTAATCGTCTTGTTCAGACATTAACCAATTCATTCGGTAAATAAAAATTAAATAATTAACCTCGATGAAGTTTGTTAATAAGAACAGATACAGATAACGCGTTAACTGCATGGTCTCGACTTTGGTATCATCATGAGAATGTTTAAGCAACTGCGGTTAAGAGAAGCCACTGTACTTGTTACGTTTACTATAATTCGAAACGAAAAGTTCCGAAAAGGTGATGACAACTGCATTCTATCTACATACATCTTTTCTTGGTACATTATATTTCTTTCAAATTCGGTGTATAATTAGTTTAGGTATGAAAGATAAACCAAACTAATTTTTAGCATATCGGCTTTATTTTGATTAAACCACATATTATCTACCAGTAGGCATTTTCGCGACTACTACTGGCGCCACCCAATGGCTTGACCATAGGTTAGTCCATATTTTATAATCAAAAGTATAATACTGCAACACACGAAGCATATCGATTTTAGTTCGGTGTTGGAAAACGTTTGTGATAAAACCTTGTGTCAATAACGACTTAGGTTGCTTATTACAAGAAATTTTTAGCATACTATACAACAGCATACTCTCTTAAGCGCTTTAAATGGTAAAAATGTTATTATTAACAATACCGCGCGCGCGCGCCGAGCCGGTAGTTTTATCCAAAGCCATCTAACCATTGGTTCTCCTCGGTTTCTAATTAAACACAAACTGTGCTAATACTGCGTATGGATGTGAATCAGTGCTCCACTTATTTGTACATTCTGTATGTATACCTCGCTCCTGATCTTTCGGCTGGTCGAATAAGCACACTGTACACATCGTGACGAAATGCATTACGTATCTGCTATTTGGTTTATGGAAAAGCTATTTTTAAATTAAGCACGAATTTTATAAGAGAAAGCTTTACTGTGCTGGAAACGTGGCGGCTTACACTGATGTTTTGCTGCCGAGTTGACGCAGAAGTTTTTGTATTCTGCTAGACTGGGAATATTATAGGTATATGACGTCCACACTGTGATCACATTTAACTGAAAACTTTTAACTGTCTCAATCGTTTTTATAGTGCCGGCACGGTGTCTCGTTTTTTTTTTGTATCGGGATACATTCTTCCTTGCTTTGTCTAAGTCTAGCAGACGACGAATAAAGGCGTGCGTTATTGTTGAGTGTTTTGGTTGTTTGTTTTCTTTGGAGCGGTCCAATTCTCATCATCATGGGTTTACCAGAACTAACGTCGATTAACGACGAAGGAGAACTGCAGAAAATGGTACTAATAAATCTATAATTGAGAGCTCCATTTTATTTATGCCCACCTTCTGTTTTTTTATTCCGGAAAACTATTGTATCCGAACTTAACTTATTGTACCTCGTTCTTCTACTCTGTTCTTCTGTTCACTCATTGCATTGACAGTAATGGAATTACGAATATTACTTTCGCAGCTGGATAACACAAGCGATTTCGACGAACGAAAGGCTATACGTCAAAGGATACGAGAAGTGAAAGATGTCATCAAAAGTAAGCCGTATATCGTCAAATTAAGGATACGAGAACTAAAAGAATGTGTATAACCATATCGTAATAACTAGGCCGTATATTGTTGTATATTTCATGAGCACCAGTTTACAAGAAATATTTACTGTATATGCGTACATTACGGTATGATTCGAGTTCTACAGATATTCGTATTAAACACCAGCTTTAATTATTTTCGCATCTGTTCATTAGTAATAGAAGTATCTTAATCAGCAATTGTTAAAACCATGGCATTCGACAACAAAAACTGAATGGGAGGTTTTTTGAGCGCAACCAACGAAAAAAATAATTATGCATGACGGAACTGCAAGATGGAATTACAACGTTAACACCCATTGCGTTATAATGCGCTTCAGTTGTGGCGAATAGTACAAAAACAGTGCGTGATTACATATTTGGTTATTTTTTTAGATGTTGCTTATAATTAATTATAATGAGTAATCTAATTTTGCTATCGACTGCGAACAGTTGCCGAATTAAAATGGGTCAGATTAAGGAAGCACTGAAAGGTCACTATGTCTTCGCCGCCAAAAAACGTCGATAGTGCCCACATTTTGTCAGACTTATGCATATGTACACTGAACTTACTTTACAATAATTTTGCGTATTGTTGGAATAAGAAAATTCTCTTGAAAATGTTCGATTTCAAATAACTATGGCAACCATGAAAATCTGTAGAGGAAATGGACGAACGTCTGAAGAAGACGGAGACGGCCCGGGAAGAAATGCTCAAGTACAGACACGCCCAAGCCAACGAATCGAAGGAGCGATATTTGGCCATGTACAACGATGCTGCCAAATCTGGGGCTGCGGGTGGCGAGAAACGTTGGAATACGGAAGCATACAAGCGAGCCGGTACGGAAAACGTGTCAGATTAATGTAAACACATGTATTTGAAAAATCGCGGTACTTATCAGCTATGCTATCCTACAAAACAATTTTTTTTGCATTGCTGATTACAGAAGCTTTGACAGCGACTCCTAGACCTGCCGGAGAAGGAGCCAAGTTAACAGCAAGTAGGCAGTACAACAACAACAGAACTTCTATAGTTTTTCTGGTCTAAAAGAAAAACCAGGCCGTAAACCCGACAGTTATGGGTTGTTGCTACGGGTTGTTGACAGCTGCTCACATGAATGTGTTTGGTAAATTAGGCTCAAAAGCGGCTCCTACAGCGAAGTCGGCTCGAGCGGCATTCCAAGCAGCAGATGCCCAAAATAACCCGCAAAACCAAGGGTAAGTCAAAGGCTCGGGAAGAGAGATGAATTCTTGTTTTGAACCCCTCTCCGCACTGGCCGCAGCAGCGGCAACAAATTATGACTCACTAAATACAACGTCAATGTGCTGTTTGGTAAATTTGGCGTCCGAAACCGGAGCGGTTGTGTTGTGCATTTCTGGAAGCACGGGATAATGTTGTGGCTTTTCACTTTTTTCCGTGTTATCTTTCACAGTTTCAGTATGTTGTATCTGTATATCTTGGCCGCCAAAAACAATAATACCTTATTAGTGTCTATCTGCGCAGGCCTACGAGTAGAGTTGTTGTTATGTTATTTGGTTATTGCCTGAATAAAATTTGATAATGTCGAATACCCCAGAACACTCAAACAAATCATATAAAATACTTTATTTTAACCTATTTAAACGCGCTACTTTAATTTACGGGTTATTTTGCTAATACAAATACTTGTATTATACAGATCTTTTTCCTGTCATAGTCAGTGTACCGATCGCAGGCTGAGATAAAGGACCCTAATTAAAACGATTCAGATGTGAATATTAAATACTTGATATTTAGAATTTGGATAAGTTTACGTTCCTTGAGCAATGTAGTGCAGCAATAAAAGATGGATTTTGCAGACTTGCCGCTCCGGCGGCAAAACCTGTGTCACGTAGCCCGACAGCTATAAAGGACATGCTCCTGAACTGGGCCGCCAAAATGACGGAAGGCTATCCGGTAATAAGATTTATCTCAACACATAATTGTATAATTTGGGCTGCGGTTATATATTGTACAATATACTGCAACATATACTATCAATTAATCTAGAACGTCTGTTTCACTGGTCATTTGATTTCGTGAACATTTGGGTTAAAGATTTTTAAGGACGGTAAAACTTGTTTTCGCTAATAACACCTTTCGATGAAATATTTTGAATGCTAATATTTCTCATCGAAATTTCTGAGTTACGTAATGTAATTGTTATTATCTCTTGTATCTGTATTGCAGAATGTCAGTGTCACCAATTTTTCCAGCAGCTGGTCCAATGGTTTGGCCTTCTGCGCTCTGGTGCATAAATTTTTCCCCGATGCCTTCGATTTTAACAGCTTAAATCCTAACAACCGCAAGCAGAACTTCGAATTGGCATTCAAAAAAGCTGAGTAAGTTAAAAATGTAGAAGGAAGACCGGTGCTCAAATTTATCCGTAATATTTCGCATATAGAGAGTTGGCGGATGTATCGCCGCTGTTGGATGTGGATGACATGATTATGATGAAGGATAAACCCGATTGGAAGTGCGTCTTCTGCTACGTTCAAGCCCTGTATCGCGGTCTCCACCAGCTCACTCCACCGAGTTAACCGGCGCATGGAAATTAGTGTTGACACATCTCTCCGATTACTTCAACGGATGTGTGATCATGCTCGTAATATTATTGGTATTTTGTGGATTGTTTATGGTTGTTACTGCTGTGGTGCGTAGCCGGCTATTGTATGTAAATTGCAAAACTCATACTTTTATGTCTTGCCCAAAATTTTATAATCCTTTTTATTGAGTCGCATTCTAGTCAAATATTTTGCTATGAATGTAGTGTCCGGTTACGTAATTGCGAATGACCAGGGCTATGTGACTGGTTGTTTTTTGATTTAACCGTTTCCATGTTGTGGTTTTAAAAACTGGATGTATGTAATAACATACTTCGTTGCTTTGTATTGCAGCTAACATTCAAATATCCACTTCGTTAGAACCCATTCACAAAAAACAGTACGCGTACTGAAAATGAATCTTCTGTGTGAGAAGCCCTTATGTACGGACCTTATAATAACCGCACCTTATGGAACTTATAATTTTATAATATTATAATCCCATTAGAACATGTCGTCAAAATGGATGATCCAGCTTACGTCTACGTGAACGGTGAATTGATAGGGATGGCCCAGCGCAGGAACTACTGCGTAATTCTTAGCGCATTTAAAATTCAAAATACTTTATTCATTTAGGTATATATATACAGTAACAATATAATTCCTGCAATGAACTGCAACAGCTAAACCGTAAGAAAATCGTGAAACACTTGTTTCATAACAATTCAAACACCATAAAAAACGTATGACATAACAGAACATTTGGAATCGAATGGCTAGAAATACAGCTAGCCTACTCACTACCATGAACGTACTAAATCTGTAAAATTACTCAAAAAACGTTTTCACCGGGATCACACCAAATCTTTTTAAAATCAAGCTTCACTGGCGTTCGTTCCTACCGAATCTTCAATTTCTACCATGTCACCGTAGGCATGAATTATACACTGCGCCTGTAAACATAATGACAATTCCAATTACAATCAATGAATGGCAAAACGCTTGGTTTTTCCTCAGTCCCAAGTCCAGACGTACGTAATTTTCATGTATATATTATTTCGACCGAGCTAGTGAATGTTTGGGCCTTCTGAGTATATGCTAAAATCTCCCGATAATTTACCTGATTATACGAATCCGCCAATTGTAACTGAGCAATATAAAAGGAGAGAACAGCATTTCCGCCAGCAGCAACAGTTTGTGACCGCACAACCGCGTAGAAATCAGCCAGTGTACGCTGCATGAACCCGCTAAGACCATCGTTCTAAACATAAACACGAATTCCCAGGAGGTTAACGTATACCGCACAGGTTTTTCGTACGATTTCCACAAAGTAGTATCTGCATTTAAGAGAAGGGGCGTATATACATGGTGCTTCTGATTTTTAGCGTTATTTTCTGTTAATATTTATAGCCAGAGTAAGAAAAAAACCCCTTCTCTTAGATAAACTTGATCGAAAATCGTAAATCTAGAATCGTCCTTTCGCGAAGATCTACCGATTAGCCGTCGCCAGTCACACTTACATCACGCAATGCCTGACACTCACGGAGGACGACAATATTTAAATTCCCAACATAGCGCTTCACCGTTCCAGAATGAACGAAAGATAAAGAAGAAATGTCGACCGACACACCCGATAAAGACTGAGGCGTAACTTGATGTTGGAAGAATATTTGTGACGGCCGAGGCGGCGACATACGAGTACGCAGCAACGATACGAGACCAACGCGGGGTGTGGTCAGTCCAGCATGTGTGTCTTTTGCGTTACCGTCCGCAATGGAAAACTCGTCTGTTTGTGTTCGCAGGGGCATCACATCACCATTGTCTTCGCATCCCGAAATTCCTACAAATACGCGATCCTGAGTTGCTTTTCACTTCTATCACTTTTATCCGCACCGATTCATCGGTTACACCTTAAAGCACAGTCAAGCGGCACCGGAACCTGATCTACTGCTAAATAAGTGGTGATTCCTCCTTAGTGCTTTATGTTCGAAAAAAGTTTATGGATAACATTTATTACCCGCTCGACTAGATACATGACGTAATGATCTGCGTCCTTCTCCTGTCCCTTTTAGGCAGGAATACAATGGTAAGGGTTCGGCAACGATAGATCCCTGAACCATGATTAACAGCTCGTCATTGGGATTTAAGTAAAACCGAAATTTAATGCCAGCAATACGGCAGGGCTTAAACATTCGAGCGCGAAAAACCACATCCTGCAATGAAATAAACTTGCACACGAGCTAGAAAACAAAAAAAAACTCATTCAACATTCTAAGCTCTAGTCAAAAACTCACGCGTAGCAGATGTTGACAGCTGACCAGCAGATCGTCCGCATCTTCCTGCTCACCAAAGACCCTCGTCTTCCATATTCGGCAAAACGATTGGATGAAGGGTCCACAGGGCTTTGCGCTAGAGTTCTGCGCAAATTCTGTAAGAGTAACAAAATACAACAACAATGGTAGGTAGCAATTACTACAAAAGAAACCTGTCGAGAAGGTACCAGTATAACGAAGCTGACGGAGCCGGTCCTGCATCGGACAGATTTCAGATCCCATCAACAAAGTGTCCTTAGAGGGTAAGTAATCGATTAAGGAGATAACATCACGGCCTTCAGATTTTTCGTTTTCCAACTAAAATATAATGTTAACATAACCACAGAAGCTTAAAAAATCATTTTGTAAGTCCGTTCACACATCACGAAAATCAAAGAACATCAAATTTATATTACGGCTATTCAATTCAGAATTACAGTAGAATAAAAAAAACGAAGTTTTCTGCAGTACCCATCAGTAAAGGTGATTATGTGTGATAACGTACGTCGATGACAAATCCAGACTTCGAGAACTGCCTCGGTCCAGGTTTTTTCTTTTTCACATTAGTTGTTCGCAATGGTCGCGTAAGTTTGCCGGTCTTGTCATCTTTATCGTCGGTGAGCCCCAGCTGGCGCAAATACTGTTCCAGTGTATTGTCAAGCTTCGTTTGAATATCGGAACTCTCAACACCCTTGTCCGTTTCCAGGACGGTGGGGCGCATTGGCCTTGGCAGCGACAAAATACAAGCAGCTGTGCACGTAGCGCTGGCAATGATCACTTCCGAACCACACTGAAGGTCCATTTTCAAACTAAATGCCGCGTTACAGCCTAACAGTTTCAATTTTGTGCTGATCTGCGAATGGAGATCATATTCAATAAACGGCATTATTTCCGACAACTCTCGGGCTCCACTTTCTCCTACAAAATATCCAAAAACAATTTAACATAACAAGCTGGAAGTACAAGCAAATCCTTCAGCCAGAGTACCTTTAAGCGCTTTGGTCTTCCGTTGTACCCGCGCCTGTACAAGAGTTCCCATTCCCTTAATCGGCGACCCATCTGGAATCTCAACGGTAGTTAAGAGAATTTCCGGCACGTGTCCAACTTTACAAACACCGCACTGAGATGTCGTTGAGGCAACGTGATCAGCGTACTCTCCAGATGGAATATGATAAATTTTGCAATCTGTTGCCTGGCCCATAGCTTCCGGACTGCAACAAAGGCATTAAAAAGAGATTTTTTACAGTTTTGTGGAAGCTAAGCCGTATATAACACTTACTAAACAAGTACGGACGATTCTTTGCGGAAGTTTTCTCTGGTTATCATTCCCCAAGCTGTCTAAGCGTGCAAAATAATAAAAATTGTCGCAGCGAACAAGTACAACAGTTAAGCAAAGTAATTCCTACTTCCAGTACGGTTTCGCAGTCACGGTCTTTGGTAGCTAAATCAATGTCCAAAATGGCAGCAGTGCCGATGGCACTTAACAACTGGATATTGCCTTCATCCGTCAAACATAATTCTTCGGAATAGCCATAAACAGCATTACATCCGATACATTTCATGTGGCGAAATATCTCCATGCGAATTTCTTTCCACCATTGTGCGTACGAAGCCTGGTTAATATCTGGAAATACAATAGTGAAAAAAGTGCACCCAATTATCAGCTGATTAGAAAAATATTAACCGTCTTGTTCCAGTCGCTCCAAAGTCTTAATCATTTTACAGGAAACTATCCCTCCAATGCTCTTGACGACTCCTGCTGGGATGTGTTTTAACGTTAGGAACGGAAACTCCTGCACAAAAATATCAAAAAAATACCGATAGACTGCTGCAGTTAAGGATGTGTGCGCAAGGCAATTGCTAAGGTACAAATAAGCGTATGAGTATTTATTATTACCGCATATAAACTCGCTCGAGTCAAATCTGCCGGATACTGCTGTTGCTCGTGTTCAAGAGTTCCCCCCAGGTAGAATCGCGGATTCTGGTTACCACCGTTAGACTCTGGCAGTACTGTTTGATCCAAATCGTCTACTGCAATGACGACAAATGAACCAAATAATTTACAAAAAAAAAAAAAAGAATAATAAAATACGCCGGCTGATGTACAACAAAAGCACAGGACTACTGCACCAAAAACTGAAATACGATCGATACGGACCGCTAGGTAAAAAACAACAGCCATGTGTTCCGATTAAAAAATTTGATGGTTCAAACCTACCGTACTGTCTTATGCCGGTCAGAGCAGATACTTCCGGGGAGCCGGTTACAGTATCCAATTTGGAACCTTTTCGCGGTCCACCCGGTGAGGACGCACCAACAATGGATGTTTCTGCATCTTGCGAAGGCAGCTGACTGAGAGCTGCCAGCTTCTCCACAATGGCCGCAGTGCCAATCGCTCGTATGATCACACCAACATGTCCGAGGTCAATGCGTTGTCGCAGCGCAATAACGGCGTTACCGCCCATATCGGCAACCTTGTTGCCCAGCTTCCGTCGCAGCTCTCCGGACATTTTCATAAACAACAACTGACGGGCTTCGTTTGTCGAACGCGGTGTACGAATTTTGTCTAGCCACTGATGTTCAGGATCTTCTGCCACTAAGGAATGATCCACTAAGCCGATGATTCTTTTTATTCGAAATCCAGATGGAAAAAGTGCAGCTATAAATAAACAACCATAATGAAAATAAAACGAGCGATACACTAGACGAGGACTCACAAGAAAAGAACAAAATGCTCTGCGCGAAATGTCGCAGCGATTTCATATCTACACAAAACGATATCAAACGAATTTCGATCTTCAGTTCTCCTCGGATACCCCTGGAAAAAGAATCCCGGAAAAGTGAAAACACCCAAGACAATTAAAACGCAAAATAGCTCAGACCGTTTGGTGGCTTTACTTACAGTAAGGTATCGTAAATAGGAAGCCACCCAGCGAACATTGTCCGATTTTCGCTCATAAGAATGTTGGTTAAATCCACGTAAATTTTTCCGATAGCATCGTGCGAAGAATACCTACAAGTAAAATACTCATAATTTCCAATTAATTCCCATTGGTTAAAGAAACCCATGGTTTATTTTAATTATTTTTTATTATTTCCTCTTTTACCGCCGAAGTTTTCGTAGTTTCTGAAACTGCTTCACATAATGTCTAAAACATTTTCTCTATTATTTAATCCATTTTAACGATTTTATTGTGCGACTTACGTATCATAATCCATTACCCGAATCTGCAACGGTTCTTCTTGTAGTTCAATATCATTCACCTGGAAAAAAATGACTTCTTGGTCTGGAAAAAAATTATTACTCTGGAAAATAAGAGTTCTCACTTCAAAGCGAAACCATTCACTTTCCCATTTAGGATGCAGTGTTCTGCGACAGACATCGGTTTTGAAAATGTTGTTTGCCAGGCGAACCTAACATAACAGATAAGCTTTCAACCACACAACAAGCAATGTGGTATTTACTATAAATTATGCTGTACGTTCCGAAGCCGTAATACATAATTTTGATTGAGAAGTAACACCTCGACAAACGCGTCCGTTGTTTCTCCGCTCCGATCCATTACGGGCAAATGCCGCGCCTCACAGATTTTCACCTTCACGGTTGCCGGCTAAAAATGTATCACATTTGAAAAAAACCTTTATAATGCGCAAAAATGCCGAAATGAGACTCGAACTCACCATATTGTGATTTAAACCGGGAACGCAATCAAGCGGCGGTCTCAATCAATCAAAGTAGCAAACAGCATGAAAATCCTTACAAACTTTTTGTAGCTTCAGACGAATGCATCCACTATTATTCTTGAAAGCACTCATCCAACAAATATATTATTAACAGTAAAATAGTAAAATATTTCAAGCGCTTTTATTGAAACACAAAATTTGCGACGAAATTTGTTTTACTCGCTATACATGTATCGTGTTTCTGTGTGAAGTGTGCGAGATGCAAGACACCGCAGTGACGTCACGACTAACAGACACAGCGCCGCCCCAAACTTGGCGCACAAAAACGAAAACAAACCACATAACCATGGTCTGTGTATAACGTATGTGTATTTATACACAGACCATGACATAACTACAGTACAAAGTGCAGTCTTGAAGAATTCGAAACGTGTTTTTGAAGTTTTCGTGTTTTTGAAGAAGTTATTTTAAACCTTCTGCAACTGATTGAGATTCTGAGACCTACAACGAACCGATTGCTATTGTATTCTGCAAATGAAACGTTGCTCCTGAATTCTGGGGCATTGTTCGATCGGCATATTATCATTATTATGAGAAGCAGAAGTACGCGAAGGAAATACTGTATTTAGATCGTGTGCCATTAGATCAGTGCTGGCCCCGCGTTGTGAAATGAATTCTGCGTCGAGTCCGAATTGCTTATCCCGTCGCGTTCTGTGGAAAAACGAAGGAATTCCCGATAATCACACCGACGACGAAACCTTCCTTAAGGAACTGCGCACCAATGTAAACTTGCGCACGTACACGTATCGGGAAGCTGTGTGTGGTGCCACAGTTCTTGTCCAGCAGATTTCCCTCGTGGTCTTCTTCGTAATAATTTATGCCTTAAGTCTTCGCAGTTTTATGTCGGCTCCGCAAATAATCATCGTTTATTCGTTTCTTTTATTTACCTTATACTTTCTGTACCGCTATCTAATTTTGAACAAGCGATTCGGACCACCTCCGAAGAACGATCTCCAAACGTTTGTCGTTATTTATGGTTTTGCTTTCGGGGTGTCGCCGATCTTGTCCACCTTAACCGGGACCGTTAGTACAGATTCCATTTATACGATGGTTGCTGTGCTATTATTGCTCAACTTGATCGTCCACGATTACGGGCCCCAAGCGATGGTTGTGTCGCAGGCCTTTTCCCTAAACGCTGCTTTTGGAGCGGCGGTGTGCTTGGCGTCGCGCTTGCCGTCATCTCTGGACGCTTTTGCTCTGGTGATTTGCGCTGTGGGAATTTTCGGGTTATGGCCTGCAATGCGATCGCTCTTGAAAAAGCGTTATCCCGCTGCCTTTCCGTTGATTGCCGTCGGGATGGTGGTGGCGGACGGCGCACTGCTCAGCTGGCTGAGCACGTTTTGGTTGGGAATGTTTGCAGCGGTTGTTGTAGCTGTGGGACTACTCTGTCCCGCACTGTTTGTGTATTTACAGCGGTGGAAGACAACAATCCACGGTCCGTGGGATGAAGCTGTTCTGAAAACTGATCGGCCGGTATCCCCGTTGAATCGCTGAATTTTGCACGGCTCGGTAAGACATATCTGTAGTATGTAGTTCCTTGGGACACGTCAGTCAGTTTGGTAAGTAGGGAAAGGAACTAAGGAAATTCAGTTTGGTATACCATTTCTCTTAGATGGATTACTGGACAGTTTAATTTCGCGATCTGTACATGATCGGCAGGTAGAATATTTTGTGTGCAGAATCTGTATACCAGTACCCACACAGTTCAGACCAAAGGCAATGACTTCAGTCACAAGTTTCTGTTTACTACGAAACAGCTAGAAGCCTGAAAAGAAAATTCCGGGATACACTACTTTCAGTAGCAAAAAAAATGAGTTGCGTAATGGTTTGACGTTGGAGATTATCAAAAACAACCCGCAAATTTAGAAAAGATTAAACTAACGGTAGTGACCGCCATTTCTAGATGACGTTATGCTGCTACGATGGCACATTCATCATATGGACAAACTCCTGAAAATTGATCCTTCCATCTTGATCGACATCGCAGGACCGAATCAGGTCGGCAACATCATCATCCGGCAGTTTTTCATTTAGGAGAAGAAGAACATGCTGTAACTCTTTCACGCCTAGTAAGCCTGTCTGATTGGTATCGAAAACTTGGAAAATAATCCGCAGTTCGTCGTCCAGATCCGTTAGGCGCATTTTGCGAACCATTAAACGCAGGAATTCGGAGAAGTCTATCGATCCGTTGCCGTCGATATCAACTTCGTTGATGATGTCATGCAGCTGGATATCAGTTGGGTCTTGTCCGAGTACGCGCATTAGCGCCGATAGATCTTTTGTGGAGATGTTGCCATCGTTATCTTTGTCCAACACCGTAAAGGCGGCGCGATATTCTTCGATTTGTTTTTCTGTTAACTGATCGGTCATTTTATACTGTTTGTGTATAAAGATCGACTTATCCTTTTATAGTTTGTTGTTTTAAATTCTGCATTACCGGTACCTTCTTATTTCGCAACCTAGCAATAGATACTATCATACTCGTACTGAAAGTTAAAGGAACACTGGAAAACCACTCAGAATGAAAATCCTCCTATCTGTATGCTGGTGTTCCCTCCGTGTAACAGTACTTACTAAAATTTGTCGCTGATTTAAAACTGTAGTTATTGTTTTTTCTGCCGTTTTGATTCCTGTGGCTCACGAACGGGAACTATTCTATGGGGCTAAAGGCACTGATCGGACGTAATTAATTATTTATTACTGTTTAGTATTCAGCTAACAACAGAATTGTTACAGACAATAAATTCTATAATTGAAATCACTACATACATGAACTCTGGAATAATTTATCAAAAAAAAGAGAACAAAATCACAACTTGCCACACAATCGCTCTCAGCATTACAACACGAGAATGACAGAATGCAACGCAGAAGACTCAGCCAAAAGCCACAACCAGCTTATTAATTCACCAGTATTCACTTTAAAAGCAAATTACATCAACCAATAACCTGGACATAATTACTCGGTAAAATGCCTTCTCTCCCGCCCAGCTTCCCCTTCCACCAGTTGTCATCTTCTTTACTTACAATGATAATTATGTCGTCCTTTTTAAACGTTAACTCATCTGGATTCATGGCAGCATAGTCGTAAAGTGCTTTCACCTTCGTTCCCGAAAGTCCACCGGATGATGCCGGTTCCGCTGCAAATTTACAGTTGTTAAATGCATTACATATGTCATGATGATATGTGCAAAAGAGTTAGAGATGTCTGCCAGGGTTTTCTACCGATGTCATGCAAAATTACCATTACGTTATTGTAATTTTCAAAGTAACTAGAAATTCCTCCAATTAGTATTAAACTCTCATTATAGCCCACAGAAACTGGATTTGGACATTGCATTGTGCATATTAAACAGCTAGGTAGTTTAAAGTTGAAGTGCATAGTACATTAACCGGTGAGCTTGCGAAAAGTCGAAATTCCTTACGAAAACGAGTGCCATGAAGAACGGCACGGATGCCACGGTAAAATGGCAAACAATCATCAGCAAAAACTGAATACCTTTTGGAATCGGTGGGGCCTTGCCTTTGTCATGGCTCGGGGTGGTTGCGCCGCTGTCTGATCCACTTCCCACCGTTTTAACGTATGCCGCCGGGAACCATCCTGTTTGGCGCTGTTTGCCCTTGGCCTGCAGTTCTCCTTCCCACCAGCCTGTTTCCGTTTTCTTTTTAACAAGAATCATATCATTCTTCGCAAAGGATATCTGTTCGGGTCCAGCGGCCGTAAAGGGTGCCACGGCGATGTAAACTTCCGGCTTCCTCTTGGTTGACTCTTCAGACTGTGACTGCGACATCGCTTTCCCCAACGAATCCTGGGACGGTATCGCTGGTGCACTTTGTTCTTTCACATAATTCGACTATAACAGCAGAATGGCTTCATAACAGAAACAACAAGCTCAAAAACACACATAATACCAACCGGAAAGATGCCAATACGGTTTCCGACCTTGCCCGTCCACCAGTCGCCATCCTTCTGCACAACTTGAATAATTTCACCGGCCATAAAATTCAAATCTCCCTCGACATCCGATTGGTACTGATATAAAGCGATGTATTGAGATTCTGCTACCGGCTTATTTCCTTCCAATGAAGAGTGGGACTGCAGCGTCTTTTTGAGTTCTCCCACAAGATTTTGGTGTTGCGCTGTTCCTTTTTCATCGGGCAATATTTCTACACATGCCGCCGGAAACCACCCATTGCTACCGCCATTTTCTTTTTCACCCAGATACCAATTCTCCGCTTTCTGCTTCAGCAATAAAATTTCGCCTTTGGCAAAGGTTAGATGGTTGTCTTTCTTGGCATTCCAGTTATGGATAGCACGGGCTTTGTGATTACCGCTTAAAGCTTGAGCATTATCCAACGCCGGGGAATCCGACTGAATTGAGTTCCCTCGCGATTTCGGTACTGGTTTTTCGACTTTTCGGTTATCTTTAGGAATTTCATCGACTTCTCCAAGAAATTCAACGTGATTTTCCGGAAGCCATCCGGTGCGACCGTTCAATTCACCCGGCAGCCAACCCGGCTCACCGTCGTGAGTTTCCGGGACGTAGATAACATCACCAGGTTGAAAAGATAATTCGTCTTCGTTCCCAGCGGTGTAGGCATACAAAGCCCGATATTTCCGAAATTTCGTCTTTCTAAAATCATTATCAAATGACAGGTGGTGCTCATGTTTGATCGAGGGAGATCGGATTTTTAATTTCTCTTCCAGCTTCTCTTTCAAATCTGCAACATGGGTTTCGCTCACGCCACTCTGATCACCAAAGGGCGATTCGCCCCAAACATCATCTGTATGCTCGAATCCATTGTCAGCCGTGCCGAATCCGGTGTCATGGCCAAAACCGTTCTCGGCCCATGCATCCGATACCACGTTAGCGGTTTGTTGATTTCCTTCATCGTATGACTGCATCGAATGTAGATCAGGGTATAGGTTTTGTGGTTTCTCCCAGGCAGACGCTGAATTATCAGATTTGACCACAGTCGCTGTTTCCTGTGTATTCTGGATCAGTGATGTCTGCTTGTTCTGGAAATCGTGCAACAAACGGACGTGCTCCTCGTATAACGTTTGAAACCTGTCTTGCATGGTTCGAATTCGGCCGTTCTTTTCATCGACTTGTTGATTAAGGTTGGAGATAGATGACTGTGATTCCGAAACTCTAGCTGACAGTTCTGCCGCGGCATCCTGTGTAATGCACATAAATTCAGCATCCTTCTCACAAAAACTTGTATTTTCTGACGCCAGACATTTGCTTAACGGCTATTTGCAACGCAGATTCGCTCGGCATGCCTTATTTTTCTTCTTAATTTTGTTCACCTGAGATGTCAGTCGCGCTTTATGCTTACCTTTTTTTGTTGAATTCCCAAATGAAGACTGGCAGTAGAATCATTATTCCCACCGGGCAGATGGGCCGCAATCCGTTCGGCTTCTTGCCGCTCCAGTCGCGCCCTATTGCTCTGATCCGTCAGTGATGCTTCTTCGTTTGTAAAGCGCGTAATCTCTTCCAGCAATCTATCTCTAGTCATCCGCATACCATCAATGACATCCTTTCTTTCTCTAACTTGATTTCTTGTTTCTTCCACTAGCTGTAACAAATCTTTTCGTTTTGTTTCGGCATCGACACCCGGTAAATCAATACCGGTGTTTTCGGTTTTGAAGTGCGCCAGTTCTTCGTATACACGTGTGCGCTCATTCAGAAGTTCATGGCGACGATGGCGTTGTCGCTCAATTTTACGCTGGCGCTCCATTTCCTTGCGTGCTGCTTCACGTTGTTCCAGAATTTTGCGTCTCTCTTCCTCTTGACGTTCTTCGATCTCCCGCTGCCGAGCCATCTGGGCTTCCAGTTCGGCTTGACGCTTGCGCTCCTGCTCCAAACGGATGCGCTCTCTCCGTTCAAATTCTTCGCGTTCTCTTCGTTCTCGTTCCTCTTGTTCCTGTCGCTGCATTTCTTGCAGCGCTTGGCGGCGACGTTCCAGCTCGGCTTGACCTGAAGATATCGAAAACATCCGTGAATTGATAGTCCTATTGATAGTCATCCATTCTATTGATAGTTGTGCAACATTGAGCACACATATACTGTGTTATTTTCAGGCAGTTTCGTTTCAGTATCGGTTTATGTTATACAGTAAAGGATATAATATAATATATAAATTATAATGTAACTTTATAACGCCAAACGATTTTATGAAATCAAGTACAAACAACTAAAAAGTAATTCAACGTTATAACATACGCAATTCTGGCTGCAAGGTGCGCCATAATTAACTAAGGGAAGTGCATTGCTCCTTACCTTTGTCAAAATTTTCTTTTCGTTTGTCTTCGAACGAAACTGGTGTGTTAAATCCCATGATATCATCTGATGCAGATCCGGCAACAGAAGCATCGGATGCCGCAGCCATCGCTGGAATCGGCACGGCACTGCTGGAAACACCCCGAGGCCGTCTAAAGGACGGTGGGATAAGCTCCGGTGGTAGCGCAGTCGGGATGGGCTCCCTCTGCCGAGCCATTTCCGCCAGATGCATAGCCAAAACGAATTCTTCACTCGTCAGCTTGCCGTCCTTATCAATATCAGCCAAGGCCCAGATTTGTGCCAGGGCTGGATGCGGCAGTCCGGACTGCATCAGCACCGTCCGGGCTTGGTTGCCGTTCAGCGATCCGGAGCGCATCTTATCCATATCGTGAAAAATCTTATTATACTTCAGCTTCGTCGCATGGGGCACGGCCCACTCTCCGGTGGGCACCATTCCCGGGCCGGCGGAAGCTGGGCGTTCATGCAGCGGGGCGGTCGAGCCGGTACGACTGCGTTGTCCGTCCGGCTGCAGTTGGTTGAATCCGCCCATAGCTGAGCCGAAAGATCCTGTATGGGGAAGTGTGCCCATGACAGGAGGATTGAAGGCTCCTGCCTGACCAAACTGCCCCGGCGCATTGCCCGGAACACTGCCTAAGGCGCTGGCAGGGATACTCGCGACTTTAGGCAGAACATCCGGAAGAGCGCCCCATGCGGCGGCAGGCTGGGCCGTATTCCCGGTGGGAGTGAGCATCGACGGGGGAAGAGCAGGCGGAATTTCCATTCCTGCACGAGCAAATAAATAATCGTTAATAATAGATTAATTTACGTCTTCCGTTTCGCTGAAAAAATAATTCCAAATAATCTTAATAAGAATGCAAAACTTCAATTTCGACTTACACATCACAAGACGGAAAAAGAAAATCTTAATCGATACGATTCACAATTTTCGATACAAAAAATAAGCTTAAATTAATATATCAGTCTTTAAAACTTTGAGCGACAACGTGTCTGCAGTTTCACCTTGTAGTTTCTTCCGAATGAGGTGCATGGCAATGCCAAATTCTCGCTTATCCAGTTTTCCATCACGGTTTATGTCAGACAGTTCCCAGATTTTGGCCAAGATAGGCGGTGGTAGATTAGACTTGAAGAAAAATTCCCGAGACTGCTGCCCAGTAATAAACCCGTCAGACGGATTCAGCTGGGCAAACTGCTGCTCGTAACGCATTTGTTCATCGGGCTGGATTTTCCAAGGATCCATCTTCAGCAGATCACTACTCTATCCGTTTCTTTAATTGACTCGCAGTGTCGCACTTCGATTCAGGAGCGGATTTTTGCAAAAAAAATAGTCGCTCCCGTTGCCACTCGCGGTCTCCGATGTTAAATCAAGGCGCCAGAAATGATCGTCACTCTCCTGGGAATCAATCCAGTTATCCAAATACGAAACTTTAATCTTGACAGGTCTGCTGTGTTTAAAAATGAAAGCGTTACATTTTTTCTATATTGCCAAAACAGCCTGATTTACACCTAAAACAGAGATAAGGCCCACCGCCATATAGTGAAATAGCAAGTGCACCAATATTTCCTTATTTCAGAGCGTACCTCATAAACTTGAATGAATGCACTTTAAGTGTGCTTGGATTCCCAAGCAGCAAGCTACGTATCTTTATCGATTGATCATTGATCCGCATAGAATTACGCCCATGAATCACAGATCGGGATAAAAAGGTAGTTGTCAGCAGCAGTTAACTGTCGCATTGCTGGTATATCCTGGCTGCTGTGCACTTCTACGGAAGTTCGTAACTGTGATACAGTATTTTAAAAAAGAATTTCGAGCAACAGTAATGTGGAATGTGGATGATAATGGTAGTGCGGTGGCTGACACAGGCAGAAGCCCCTCCCCCATCTCAAATTACCCGCTGGCGATTTTAATCTTGCAGTTCCTCCATAGTTATTTAATCTTATTTTAATCTTATTTTATTTATTTTATTAATCTTATTTTTAACCTCACTTTACCAGTACAATTTTCGTTCAGCAACTATTTCTTCGCCATCAGCTATATTTTTTCGTTTTTCAAATACCTAAATGCAACCAAACACAACCAAATACAACAATAAAAAATAGTCTCACAAGTAACGTGTTGCGTGCCCTTATCACTTGTAACTTCAATCCAAACCGCCAGTGTGCGAATCAATGCGATCAATTCGAAAAAGTAATAATTTAAATTATTTAATATAATATAGATTTAATTTAATCATATAAACTTGCAACTTGCATACAGACTCTTGTACCGTGCAAAACAGGATACTCGTATTGATGCGATGATACCCTTAATTGCAAGTTTGCAGCTCATGATTAAACAGTAATTATTATGCGGTACATAATTTGAAATGCACTAAGCAAACGATTTTGATTTTTTTCTATTACTATTGCGGGCCGCAATTTGCTACTGTTGTTAATAATGTCAAAAAATACCCTCGGCAGTTCGGCAGAATACGACACGGTGACTGCTGCCTCTGTAATTATTTACAGAAACGTTTTAAAAACATTACACGGTTTACACCCCACCATGGGTATATTATTGACTGACTGGCCGGGCACTGTCTGAATTTCTGAGTTTTTCGTGCAACGTTTTCTTTAACTTCATATTAACAATCCCACGCGTCAATTCAACAATTCCTCCACAACCCCATCCCAGTTAAGGCATCATACACAACACGGCACTGCAGTCAGTGCAGTGGCTGTACAGAATCACCGATCGCACGCAAAAATCAAAATCACAATGAGAAGAAGAAATTTTAAGATCTAACTGTTATAAATTATCATTCTTTCTCTTTTTTGCGGTGCGACACCACTTAAACGGAACAACACCACAAAATTAGTAACAATCCCAGACAGTACAAAGCCGACAGTCTTTGCAATATTCTGGTGTGGGATTTAATTTCTCCGATGCTATCTGCTCCTGCAGTCCTGCTTGAGGCGACTCCAACGACTGGGAGGCCACACAATGTGAGTGGCCACACCGAGCAAAAGTCCTCTGGGTATGGCGCCGAAAGTGTTGCTGTCCATGCTAAGATCGCGGTTGTCGCCTTCCACCCACATGCATCCCTGCTGCACCTCCACCACCGACTGCTTATAGGTTAGCGTCCTCACTGTGTCTCCCTCCAGTGCGATAACACGCTTGATCAGAATCCTACTCGGATCGCTCGGAGACGTGAACGCCACGATATCTCCCCGGTTCACAATGAAATTCCGCACGGCCAGTGCATTCAGCCAGATATAATCACGGGCGGTCTGATCTCCTTGCAAAGTAGGCAACATCGAAGAGCCCTGCACACGAGCTAAGCATCCCACGTTATCCAGGAATGTCAGTGAGACAGGAACAGCGACTCCCACAAACTTCAGGGACTGCCAGATCAAGCTCGGCATAGCCAGCGGTGACCAGGGAATGCCCAAAAGAAGGAAAACTACCGTTCATCATTTGCGTGATAAATGTGTTATGTGACTGCTGACTATAACATGGTACGTCGGAATAGAAAACTTGCCATTAAAAGAGTAATGACTACAAAAGTAAAGTGTTTCAGTAAATTCTTGAATTCCCTAAAAAGTGCAGAAGTAACAAAACCGATCCAATAAAATTGTTGTAAAAAAAATTCACATTGTCAGCTGTTGCCTGTTGGAAACTTATTATTTAAATCGTGCCAGAGCGGACAACTCAGGCTACAGGCAACAAAAAACGCGTCAAATAAAAAGACCTGGAGTGTGACCACCCGTCCGTGGCAGTAGACAGCATTCGCAATTTCGCATACTGTACTATAATAATTATGCCGATTCTTATTCCTTCCCGAAAAACTGTCTTAAAAAATTCGGTGAGTAAAAGATAAATCTCAGATTTCAGATTCAGATCTGGTCTTCTCCATAAAGTTGCTGCTCCGGTAGTCGTACCCGGTATTAAAAGCACACAGTTTGACCAAGGTGGATAGAGTGGACCCATTCACCTTGGTTTGACTATTGAGTGTACTTCATTCATACTTCGACTCGTACTTACATACTTCTGCATATCGTACTTGCCAGATTTGTAAAAATTGCGATTGACCTTACTCGCGTAATAAAAAAAGCAATATTCGAAAGTTGTATCTATTTTTCCGTTATTAAATCAACAACAATTTCTATAGTACATATATTATCGCATATCACATTCGGGAGGGTACAAAGTACCAACGGAAGCAAATACGACTTCACTGACCCATAGGATTTTACTTTATATAAAAATATTATAACGTGTATCCTTCTATCCATAATCTTATACAGTACGCCTTTATGTCAAAGAAGCTCCTCTGGCACAAACGTCGATTGCCGAGTTATTTATTTCTACACAACTTTAACAAATCGTCCAAATCTATGACACAGAAACATGAATTGAAATGAGTTCCAAAAGAAAAGCAATTTCCACCGCCGCCAGTAATCACGATTGTACGAAAATCTTCCAGCAATACGCTTGAATGATGGAACAACATCAAAAGACAGTCCTAAAAACCCGAACATTTGCAGAAAATCACACAATGAATAATGATGATGGCACTCACCGGAGTCAGCTGGAGCTGAAAATTCCACTCGCACCGGTTTTCTATGTCATAAACTGTCAGATCCGGAAGCGCGGCATCTGCGTCATCGCTTACACCCCCAATAACGATCAAGAAATTTTCCCATGTGTGGCTGGTGTGACCAAATCGTGCGCGCCCAAGATGCCCACATTCATGAATGCCCACATTCATGATGCCGGTGGATTTGTCCAGACGTAACTCCAAAATATCAGACACCGCTTTGTTCTCCTTCATTCCTCCAGAAAAAAGAATGCGGTTACATCCACCAGAAAGTGAGGGATACTGTAAAGGACACTGTCCAGCACAGGATCGCAGAGGCTAAAATAGCAAACGTTTAACCATGCGAACAGATGCTTATACTGGCAAGAGCGGCAAATGTACTTGAATGGGGAAAAGCAAACACATCGCTTTATTTATTTTTAATCAAATACTTAACTACCGCAAAACTATGAATGAGCGACGCTACCTACCGTAAACGTCGCAGCAAGTCTACTGTGAGCTGCGCAGAGTGATGTTCCTTGGCGTGGTAAGGAACTTGAGCAAAGTATTACGATACCGTTATCAACTCCTGTAACACAAACGTCAACTGATTCTAACTTTTCAACTTATTCAAGCCACTTAAAAGCAAGATGTTCGTTATTACTTCAACTAGCGACTTCTGCTCATGTTAAGTCAAATTTAATAACTCTTATTAAATACCAGGAAAAAGCTTCGTAAGGACAGTGCTAAAATAATGAGAAATTGTACACCTTTTTGCACGGCACCTACAATTATACGATACCTTCCTGATGTAATACAGCCGCAGATGTTCTTTGCATAAAAGTGATAGGAGCATCAGTCACATTGGAATCAATGGTGTCAATAAATACTGCTACTCGCAGTTCCAACTTCGTAGAACGAATGCAGTCAAATCTCAGTCGGTAAATTCGATAGTTCGATTTCCCTGGAGATGTACGACCCCCAATCACATGTAGTTCATTTTCAGCACATCGATATATTCCATGATGAACGAGCGGACCTGGAAACAACTTCACTTCAGACACGCTTATACAATTACGATGTAGCATTAACAAAAATTTCATTCGCACGCGAAAAACTGTACAATACTTAATACAACTGCAGTTTTATATAGGCAGATATAATTAGTCGGTTAGTGAAAATGCAAGTGACTGAGATCACTCTCGAATTCAGTAAAACTGCTTCAATCTTATACCACTTACGAATAAAATCCGAATCCAACATGCGGCTGGGAATCCATACAGCCCAGATACCGTCGGTAATTTGCAGGGCATCCATTTCCGCTGCGGCGCCGGGCGCGGTCGACTGCGGACTGATTCCCCCCACCAAAACGATTACGATTTGTTGCGATCCATCAGCGGTTAACAATTTAACCACGCCGGAACTATGACTGTAGGCCATAAAAGCGCTAGGAGCTGCTAAACATGGAAGATATTTAATTCCTTGATTTTCCGGATTGTGAGTCTTATGGGGCGATTGCGAATATTTATCAAGTACGCAGGCACCACCGCCATTAGCAGCCAAACTAATAACATAATGGCGACATTTTTCATAAAATTCTTCGAATTCGTCGAACGGTTCCAGATTTGAGACTTTGGATTTCTCTTGTGAAGAAATATGGTCTCTCCAGTATTGCATAACGCTTAATGCAAGGGATCTTTGCCAATTCTGAAAATCGAAATCCAAGGTTGAAAATTGCATTTATTTAGATCAACAATCGATGGTGCTGCAGGAGCTGCATTTTCTCTGAGCACTATAAATTTGATAAAAATTAAAACGCACCAAAGCACAATACTCTGCGCTTAAAGAGGGCAGTTTTATTACTGTAAGTGCACAGTATTACTAGAAAACCTGTCAACATACACAATTAATAAGCCGGTTTTCGTGCGAAGCAGCAGTTGGGTACAGTTCAGTATTTTGTAGAGGGGAGCCTTGGTTGCGGAAATGCTGCAGCCTAGGAAAAAGCATTCCGGTAACAGAAAAGATCACGAAGAAATCAAATCCTGTTATCTAATGGGTATTTACATGAACTTCCCAAAAGAATCCTCAGGTTGTACCTAAAAACAGGTAATTGAGCATTTAGTGACGGCTTTCAGTCATGCTACTCAAGTGTTCATAAGCAAATACAGAGAACCAGATAACGGAGTAAAACCAGTATTAAGTACCTAAAATTCGGATTTACTGACAGGGCGAACAAAACGTGAGGTAATAATCAAGAAATCAGTGGTTCGAACTTCGAACTGTTCAGCTCACCTGTTCGTAGTTGAAGAAAACCGCAGTCGAAAAAAAACTGGCCAGCGTCATCAGAATCTTTTGACACTGCAACAGATTACTTAACGAAATACTAAAAGTTAAAACTTGTCCGACATCATTTACGGTAATCAGCTGAATAACCAGACAGATCTTACTGGGACTCAGGGATGTAAGTTAGAACCACTTCCGATATAATCATGGTAGGCGCATCACAGTTCAGCTTTAGGTGATCAATTAAATTCACAAACTGAGAGCAGTTACGCAAATCCATCCCCACTATAACGTAATTATCTGATGATAACGTTAAGCTAAAGCCTTCATGCTTCTCCGGCATATCCAGAGTGACAGACGATAATTTTTCTCGCATTTCCGGGGTGTTCAGAATCATTTTAGCTTTATTGGAGGCCACTTCCAAGAAATCTATCTGCAAAACACCATACTGGAAATCATCGAATTCACAAATTTCTATGTTCAACTGCAATTAAATGAATACCAGAAAGTGTAACACTTACATCAATTATTTTCACGCTGGTTTTCTCCAAGCGGAAGTACAGCGTGTCATACCCAGCTCCAAGAACAATGATCTACAAAAGAAAATTTCTTTCAAGCAAGCCTGCTTCACAAGCAATTTCAAAATAAATTTACGCCTTCCACAAACTTCCAAGACATCGTTACTAATATCATATAAAACAAGTGCCTGTCCTTTTCTGCATGTCCGACATTTTACTTACACTGCAGTTATGAGCATAGCCCGTCCCAGAATTCACGGAAGCATCTCGGTTAGTGAATGCGCCTCCGCTGATCGCCTCCAGAAAGGTATCAATCACAGAATGCACTGCGTGCATCCGGACAAAGTAGCCCCTAAAAAATAACAACTTCAAATGAGTATGAGAAGATTTTCAGGTCTCATACATTCCCCGTACCGGCCGTACGCAACATTTGCATACCTGTTGATCAAAGGCGTTCTGCGAACTTTCTTCGCCACAAAGTGCTGCATAAATTCGTCTTTCATGTATCCAGCTGCAGTCATGGAGCATTTGCTAACACTGCTGAAATCGTTGGTCTTCTGAACCTAAAACAGTAGAGTGTTATATTACCTTATGCTCAAAGCGCTTCAGCAGTATATTTTTGTGCACTTCCATGGTGGCTTGCGCAATCGTACAACAAACTAAAAGCAGCAACAGCTCAAACTTTAAAGTTACAATTGCTGCAAGATTTCCATTCCACCACAAATGACCTAAAGCAGTAATCTGCGTACCGATTCATCGTGACGCAATGCGTTCATAATTAGACAATTCCAAACAGCAACAGCAAATAAATAAAGCTATAGGAGGAAATATCTATATAACATTCGTGATTCTCGCCGAGACTGCAGACTGGCAGTGTGTCATTTTGACGTCACTAACAAACAGGGATTTTGGAGTGCGCCAACAGGGAATCATGCATTCGCTCTGTTTCTGTTCGTGTGCTAAAATTTTCGAGGCGGTAATCCAATACCGTGGCCACAGCATTAACGCTAAATTTAACAATACCGCAAACATTTTTATCACACATTTTTTCCTCGTTTGCAGATGATGCTTTTTTGTAAATTTTCATGTATCTGTCTAATTAACCAACAACATAGTTTGCGAACGCACGCTGTTTAAAAAGTGCCGGAATAAGCACTTGTTGTTATGGGCCTACGATGACTTCCCGGCGCACCGTAGGCGCACGGCTGCCAACCGCCACAGGGTACCATCCTGGCGAGAATCGTCAATTCCGACTTTCCGAACCTACAACTTCAGCAGAGAGAAACGAAAGAAAAAAACAAAATAGCAATAAAAGCGAATTCAAATAGCATAAAAGTATCGTTAACAGCCGCTACCCCTACAAGAAAGTATAGCAAAAGAAATTGTGGAAAAGGCACCCGCCCAAAAGGCTGCGGCTTTTTCAAGGGTTCTAGGAGTGGGCGGGTGCTCGGGCGATTGCATCGCATCGCCACTGCACACGGTGGACTAGCAGTAGCCACTATTCTACGTTCTGTAATCACACTATTTTTGTTACGAAGTTTTTAGTTACTACCTTTATATTTGTTAATTTATTGGTGTTTATTGTTAATTTGTTAGTAAACGGTTTAGATCTGGATTATACGTGCTGTAATCTGAGTTTGCACTGGCAGAGCTGTATTATCGTTGAGCATTATTGTAGTTGAGTTAGTTAGCCTTTAGGTATCGAGAAAATGGCGTTCGTTTGTGTTGCTTTATAATCCTCGGGGACACAACCCATCTGGTTCGAAGTTGGTTCATTGTGTTATGTCGTGGGGTTGGCTGGATAAATATCGCGAACATGACCACAGAAGCGGCCCATGAATCGCCCCGTCGGTGTCGCGCGGAAGCCAGTAGTATACCTGAGCTACTCGGGAACAAATTACCCGAGACCTCGACTAAAGATCTGATAACGTGTGTTTGGGGTCCCGGTGGTCCTGATCGCGAAAATCTGCATCGATGGTCACAAGGTTGGTGCTGATCAACCCTTAATAGTGTATTTCTGACTTTTGCTGGTTGTACTCTGTGCACCCCATAAATTGTGATTGTGTCGTAGGTTTCGCCTTTAGTACTGGAGAACCCACAGCTCTCATTCAGCTGCACGGGGGACCCTGCGCAGTTATAGCGCCCGTTCAAGCGTATCTACTGAAAAATGCTATATATCCCGAAGTGCATCTTGTGGATGCTTCATGGAGAACGAAAAACGGTAAATCATTCATCGGAAACTGACTTTTGATTTGCACTTTACTGTCTTTACACCATGGCGCTGCGAAACTACTTATTATATGTAATACGCAGTTTATGATAAACAGCGTGTTAGATTTTCTCACAAAGTCAGTTTCCTTCGAAATTTAAAATTCAAGCACAGTGGCGCTCATTTACAATCAAGCAGAGTTTTCCACTGAAGACAAACATTTTGGGCTTCTTGTTAGCTGCTTAACCATTGTTAATCATTTTATTTTTCTAATAAACTCCCATAAATTTTCTTCGTTACAGTAGAGTTATATCTGATAAATGATGTGCTAATATTTTGTCCTCTCTGAATATTTTGAAACAGAATTAAGACAAAAACAATAAACAGTTTTTATTGTTTTTGTTATAAAAATAATTGAATTTAGCTCAACGCCTGTTGACGACTGCATTTATGGAAATTTTCTCCATACTGAATGCTCCCAATTACGCTTTAATTCTTCCCGAGGATCCCATTCGTATTCCATCAAAGCGTGACGCGACGGCGATGGATGAAGTGGACCTCACGCACGAGGAGAATACGGATCCTCACAGCGAGCATGGAATCCATTCTAATTTGCGGTCAGTTAGCCGTGTGAGGTTGGATGCCTGGCAATGGTTTTTCCTTGAACTGCTTGTTTTGTAGGACGTTACATTTCGCTACACTTGATGATCTGAGACAGTATCTGGAAGCAAATCCTACAGTTTTTTGCAGTTCCTATGGTGTCTTACGCTTCCTCTATTCTGTAATAATTAGCAAAGTAAGTAATGTCTTTGTTGAAAGAATAATGCCTTTCTGCAGCATGGTGTTTTTTTCCAGTCTATTGAAGCAGTAAAACTGGATCTGGAAGATCCTAGTGAGCCGCTAATTGATGGCGCTCATGGTCATGGAAAGTAAGTTGATAGAAATTAGAATCCTCTATAACAGTATGTGTTAGCCAATGGGTATGATATTTGAGACCGTACGTGTGGTAAATTATCCACGAACATAATTTTATGCATCCTTGATTCTTTTCTGTACCCATGTTAAAAGTCACTTGCTAGGGACATCCGATTAAAATTCTGGTTTTCGTCTTTCTGGTTTTCTTTTTTCGTCTATGTCCGCCGTTATAATTTGTTTCGATAATTGATTTACTGTTAAAGTTTTGTACTGCCGTTACTGCAGGAGCGTGCTGGGATTAATTTTGGTGAATATTCTTGATTAATTTTGTCTATCTTTATCTTTGATACGCTTTTTAGTCAAAGCCTTATCAATTTGTTACTAACTGGATCTGCGGTGGCCAACGTCTGGGATAACGAAAAGGAATTTGGACCTTTACGTAAGTTTTACTGCGACTGAATTAAAGTGTACTGAGCTAAAGCCTTTCCCATACTTAACACCTACTCGTAATCTGGGAAACAGGCTTGAAAGGCATCCGCTTCCGGCCAGCCGTGGGATTTCTTAGTTTGTTGGAGAACATGCGTTACGTTGAGGTACTGTATCCCTTGTATGCTTTCGAATTATGACTTACGTAGATAGGTTGTTCACTTGTCTTGAATGCAGGTGGGATTTTATTACAAATGTCCACAGTATCCTATTTGGATACTGGGAAGCGAAACGCACCTGAGCATCCTTTTCACTTTGGTAAGTCGTTATGCGATAGGAAATTTCGGCCTCTTTTAGCTTTGCTGATTTCAGATTCCTTCTCTTGTTACTTCCGAAGCTGAAGAAGCGGCTGCTGTCCGTGTTTTTCGAGAGTACGATCAACATGGTAATAATACTAATGAGCCATTACTGTATGTACACTCTACATTTAAAGCCACAACGCCTGCTTTTCCTCCAGTACCCTGTGTTAATGATGCTGTTGCTAGTAAACATTCTCAAAGCACGGTAATCGAAATAATTTTTACTGGATTTGCTATATTTAGAAATTTATATAACAAATCAAGGATTTCCTAGGGTTGCCGGTTCTCCTAAGAGTTGATAATACTTTGAAAAGTTCAAAGAACACCGTTTTCGAATTGTCTAATGCGCCGTTTTTGAGATTAATTAGCTTTATATATCTTTTTAGGAAGTGGGTTCATTAATGTGGATAATCTCGGAGATGTTCTGGGATTACTGAACCTGTTCAAGGAAGATGATTAGTAAGTGGACTTACAAGTTAGACAGAAACGATGTACATAGTGATGGGTTATACTCGTACTTATGGTTAGCGTATGGTTAGTTTGTTGATTAGTAGTGATTTTTATCAGGATTGCTGGACGGTAAATAACTGAATTTTTTCTCTTTGACTGTGCAGTTTGAGGCACACATAAATAAAAGAGCAGTTAAGCATCAGTCAATAATAATGGCCTGCCTCTGGGATCGTGCCTGACGAGGCTGTTGTCTCCATGATCGTTTTACAGTTCTTAAATGGGATATTATTGATAAATTGGTTACGAATGCATAATCACATACTAATATGATCATCCATTTTTCACGGTAGCGCGAAGTGCGATTAAGAACTTTGAAGTTGTTGAGAGCTAGATATCTCTGGGAATGGGTGTGTGCACTGTGCAGTAAGGTTATCCGTTATGTCGTAGTCCATGCAGGGTGTAGCTGTAACTGTCAACTTTTTGCGATTTGCGGTGGTTTATTTCGGTGCAGAGTACCTGGCCGTTTATATCGATTACCGGAGCGCATTAGAACATTGCACTTTTTTTTTATTGACCTTTCCATGCTGATCTCAAAAACTGTCGCCAACTAGAAAGAAAGAATTTTGCAGATATATTTTCTTGCTCACATACATAGAAATCTTTTGGCTCATATTCACATTTACAAGAAAATGTTTAATACTGGTAACTGGATGTACTTAAGCTTCTCTGTGAATCCCTGTATAAAACGATTTTACGGTTTAACTGCATTCCTGCTAGATTGTTTTGCGGGATATGCGATAACTTTGAATCGCTAAGTGTTAGATCGCATTTTTCGAATTGGTTTGCTAAATAATTAGTGTCCTACATAGTATCGAGGGGTGATCCTTACTGTTAGTGGGTTTGCACTTTGCATCTGGTGATATACCGAGTAGTTACAATAAAGTGACAATTTTCAGTTGGATACTTTTATCTCATTTTGTTTTTAACCGTTTGTGGTTTATTGAACTTTCGAATGTATATACAGTACTACTTGGTACAACTGCTAATACAATACGTTTATAATATGACCTGATTAACACCATGGAACGGTTGGTGTTTGACAATAAATTTACAAAGTTAGATTTAACTGTGTAACATAACAGATGGTTTGCTTCTTTTCTAGTGTTAATTCTTTGAAACAAAAATTGGACAAGGAGCATTTGGGTATAATTTTAAGATCGGATTTCCTTGCGGAATTCTTTCCTTCCACCGGAAAATTTTATAATGGTCAACCGTTTGACGTCTATCACTATAATGGGCTGGCTCGCAGTGAATCTCCAGTGAGCATTTAAGTGGCTGTGTGGTTTAATTAAGCGATTCAAAATCGATTGGGAAATGTTCACAGATACGCTATCATCACGGGCGGGCCAAGATTTGCGAACTAGATTTTGACCTGGAAATCATTAACTTGGGCGACACAGACGACACGATCGACTCGGATTCCGCCATTGTTCGGTGCCTGCGAACCAAATACCCGCGTGTGGAAATAACTTGGGATGATAATAAGATTCCTTCCATCAATTAAACCACAAAATGTCCAGAGTCATAATTACGGCTGGGTTGGTTATATGTCAGGAGCGTGTGTATGCGTGTTATTGACAGGCATTGTGTACTGCATGAGATATTTGACGTAAAATATGTATCTGCAAATCTGGTGAGTATTCAAAGGAAGTTAAACGGTGCGCGAAAATGTGGAATATTATTTTTTAATTATGTTAAGGCAGACTTTTCTTTGTTGGAGATCAGCGCACAGTGGTTTAATAGGAGTTTTCTACGGAATATGCGTATTTTTGTCTTCATTTCGATCTCTGTTCCATCATGGGGGTTTGTTAATTGATAATGCGTGCAGAAGGTGCTTTGCATAAAGCTTAGCGAGACCCTGTCGTTGTTTTGACAGTATTCACTGGACGAAAACCACATGTACGAACAAATATTTAAAACACATGCGCAGAATTTTTCAGAAAGATGTTTGGCGGCGTTATCAAATGTCGATTAATTCAAAATAACGGAAAATGGATGAAGCGAGATCAATGTCCGCAAATCACCATGTGTAAAGGCATGCTTGGTATGACTAGACAGTACAAATTTGTACAAGCGTATAATGAACCACAGGGATGGAAAGCACGTTCGAAATAATTCATATCCACGTACCGGAAACGTTCAGCAGAATAAATATTATATCGATAAACTTACGCATGGCGTCTACGATAGCTTTACGTTACGACCGTAATTTTTGATGCAGTGTTTTTACGAAATGTCTTCTATTGCGTTTTAATTAACGGGATCGGCAATAGAAAACAGTAACATTTTGCGAGTATCGACAGTAGAGAATTGGACAGATTCGACACCATTCTAAATTCCGGTGTAACGTTGATATTGGGGAACTGTGCAAGTGGTTTAATGTTCGGAACTTCTAAGGAATGAACTTTGCTAAAGATATATACGTACTCGCGTTTGCGCGGATTAAAGTTTTGCCGCGCATTCATTTATGATATAACAGATATGTATGGTATGATTAAATTATCTTAACATAATGCGCCACATTTAAAAAACCATGATGTGTCACACTCATACGAAATCATAGTGAAATTGGTACATCCGTGTGCTTTGCAAGTGGCATTTTCTTTCCGATCACAAATTCACAACCTTGGTTAATGGCGCACTTGACGATTGGATGGGCGAACAAATCGTTAACAGCAGGACGAAAAAGCCGCGCTCCGCCCGGGACAGCCGGAGTGGCACAAATAGGAATGGATTCGCTGGCGGAAAAATAACGTCACGGCTGACGTGTAGTTTAACTGCCGCCACATCCCAATAATAAAAGCCTTTGTGCACCGGTAGCCGTTCACACGCATACATGCGTCCGAGTGCTTAACTTCCTTGGCCATTAATCTTCTCTCCCGGTTCTCAGGCTAACCTAAACCTCATTCTATATATTACGGTTTGCAGCGGTTCATCAGTGAGATTTTTCCGTTCATTTTATCTCATCCCTTTTCCTGGACGCTGCTATCTTTTATATTCATTTTCAGCACCTTCTCGCTTCACATAAGACCATGGCATGATCGTTCGTAATTAATACTGTTCTGTCTGGCTGATCTTGACCGGCTTCCGACCATCATCCTGGTCCGTGTGCCGTGTGTGAAATAACCTCTGCGCGTTATCCAACCATCAACGGTCAACAGTAGCCATAAAACACCGTGGCACGCAATCTTCGTGGAATGTTGCCGATTTCCGTAACAAGTCATCATTTGATACCACTATGCCTTCTTCTTGTGTTTACAGTATCTGCTGACCGATATGACACGGTAAACAGTTCTGTAATTTAAATACAACTTTCTGGATTCCACTGTTGCAATCCCAGAAGGTCATAGGCAAGAATGCATGCAACATAGGAAAAATCCATTAGCAGTGCTTGATATAAAAATATCACCGAACGCTGAAGCGCACAACGACTGTCTTTACCCGATGACCTTTTGTACGGGTATTACGCTTGACCAGCTTAGTTTTAGTACGGCTTAAGGTACAATCATTACAATGGTATGAGTTTTTTGTTATCTGTTGGAGCATATTATCGTTACAGTAAGTAAACACGTAATGTTGATTAGTCTGTCTATCACGAAGGTCAAAAACATGCATATCGCAACGTAAGCGCATTACTTCCACCCCAAAATCATACAGAATTCTGAATCAGCGGGATACTTCAGCAGTGAGGGGATTAACTCATTCAAGCTTCTCTAATGTCGGCGCGTATATGCGATATTTGACCTTTTACAACGTAACAGTGATGTATCTGTAATATCTATAATTCCATAATAATAACATTATAAAACGGAATGAGTAATAAAAGTAAGCATCAAAAATGACCATCAGCAGAAGATTAACCGTAATCTGGAGCATAGGTGTATCTATTTCAAACGTAGAAGTGTATTGTCGCTATAAGGAGCATTATTGGATTACAGTATCATAACATTATGCAAAATATAATCATATAAGCTAGATCTAATTTCTCGATTAAACATTTATTTCGGTTGTAACCTAAATCTAATTGTAATCTAAATTATTGTATTTTGTAACAGGAATCATCCCGTGTAAACAAAAGGTCAAAATGGCAGGCCGACAGGATAATAATGGCCGACGAGTCTGGCGAGCCCATTCAACAAACACTTGATGATCCGGAAGCTTTTGGAGACGATTTCGGGAATTCTGAAGAAGATCCTTCCTACCGGACAAATTTGTTCGATAGGGAATACTTTGCCACTGATCTTCAAAAGCGCAATACTAAAGCCTTCTATCCACCGAAAACGTCTTTCGTAAAACAAAAACAAAGTACGTCAAGAATTGTTATGATACAGTAGAGAGTCTAGAGACTTAGAATATTAAGTCAATACCACCTGCGCAACAGCAAAGATTACTGAGAAAGAGTGTTTATAAGGTAATAATCAAATGAATATCCATTCCACCTGCGTAGAATATTAAGAACGTCACTTGCGGATCATAGTTGGTAAAGCAAATTATCAAGCACCTCTCATAAATGTTGTAGTAAACAATCCATTTTTCAGCTCAAGTTACTCCAGCTAATTATTGCACTTATCACTTATCCGCATGACCTTTTCAGCGCAACGGAAAGATGCTGTACATCTTATCCGGTTCCTTAATTTTATTCAGATAATGATCCACAAAATTTATTTCGCGCACGTGCCTCTCGTAATAACTTTTGATCTCGCATGGTCAGTCATGTCTGTGCTACAAATATGAATTCTATGATTCTGTAATATAACCGTCAATTGCATTGGCCTGAAAAAGTGATTTTCTCCGCACTGGGATTATTATTAATTTACGATTACATATGTGCGGACAAACAGTAAAGATTTTTACTAACATAAAATAATATTTTTAGTTGCATGAAAGCAGATCATCAAATCAAGCAGCTTCTTCTTATTTACAGCGTATTGATTCTCAAAGTGTAAGTAGGGCGTGTGCGTATTCTATGCATTTCTAAGGTCAAATAAACATGAATTATGAAGCTTTATGTTTCCTTAGGACCAAGCAAATGGGCAAATGAAGTGCTGGCGGCCAGAGGAATTCTCTCTCGGTATCAAGTGGGCCAAAAAAAGGAGTTCGACTTCGCTCCTAAAGGTACGGGATGAAGATGATGGATGAACAGAACTCCACAAGCTTGTCTTAATGACACTTTTTCAAAATAACACTGACAAGTTATTAAGTCGACTGGGCGTCTCGGTCACGAAATTCGTATATTACAGACACATACCAGTGTGGCGTACAAAAGGTCGCTCCCAATGACTGGCTAAAGGGCAAGCCGACGTCATCGGGTCTGAAAGACGTAACTAAGCGGAGAATCGAGGCTAGGCATCACAGCTGGCCTTGGCAAGTTGACATCTTCTTCTACCGGGTGGAGAACGGAAGTGCTGTCCGGGTGCATCTGTGCGGCGGTACCCTCATCGATCGCTGGCACGTAATCACCGCGGCACATTGCAACATTATACGCAGTCAGAATTTTGCTTTAGGGTAAGTGCGTAAAAGGGAAATAAAAAGTCATTTACCGCCACTGAAGAGGGACAATTGAGTGTTAATGATTATCAATCATTTTTTATTGTAATGCGGGATATTTACAGACGACCGAAAAGTTATTACATTCGAGTGGGACAGCACTACCGGTCGGTGGATAGAGACACGGTCCAGACAATTCGGGTCGACAAATGGATCGATCATCAGCATTATAACGATTCAGGTGATAAACGTAAAAAAACGAACACTACCCTAAGGTTTAATACCGAAGGACTTCCGACAAAATTAATGTTAAATGCTGTTCTTCACCGGCTGCTTATTACATATAGTACGAGTACATTCATTTTCGCTTCTCCCTTTACTTATTGATGGAAAAGAGTAACATATTCACACAATCCTGCAGCAGTTTCCATATAAATCAAATGGAAGGTCATTCGCGTTTTAGCGCTTTTCAGTATTGGTTTCCGTGGGTCTTGTAATTAGGCACAGTCCGACGTAACCGTCAGTGCACGAACTTTTGGAAGGAGACCACTGGCCTACGTTACCTGTATATTCATTTTTTCAGTTTCGGAAGGAGAAAATCCACCCAAATTTTTTCTGTATAACGATATCGCGTTTCTCCGTTTGGACCGTCCGGTGGACTTAAGCGATGAAGTGCATCCGGTTTGCTTGGACTTTACTGACACCACACCCTTCGCCATTGGCACTACTTGCTACGCCACGGGTTGGAGTTTGGAGGAGTTTGATTATCAAAAATGGATTAAAGGTGAGAAAAGGCCACGAAACCTAGTTATGCGCCCCGATAGAATTAAATATCGTAAGTATTGTACTTCGGTGTGCCATAAAAAATACCTCTGACTATCCCGCGGCAGCGCACTACCTGTCAAACGCCGAATGAGCACCATAATTACAAACCTGGCGCGTATATGCATATGCCGATTATGGGTATGATTTTCTCAAACCGGCACGCAACGGGAACTCCCTGATCGCTGATCCATAAATATATTGTACAACAAACACAAGATAATACAATATTCCACATTACCCGTGCTATTCTTTGACAAAAGAATATAAAATAACAGCAACACGTGGACACTCATATTTTACCATTCTATTTTATACTTACATATCTGTAGTACTTCCTGTAGTTCAAGCAATGTTGTGTTGTTCAAGCACTTTGCCCACGATAGTTTGCTATCCTATGCGTAGACGTAACGATACAAAGCTAGTAGATAGTTTAATACTACTGTGTGCGAGTAGTGTTTAGTTTATTTTGTTTTTGCTAAGGGCATTTTCATTTAGGTGATTATTCGGAAGTACTCAACGAGAGCAAATCGAAGATCGCCAAAGATGCATATTGCCTGAAGCATCACAGTGGATATAACGCCGATGTAACCTTATGCACCAAATATTATCCAGGGTAAGCAGAACACCTTCACTGCCGGCTTTAAATAAACATCTGAATAAAATTGGTGCTTGTACAAAAATAGTTTTTTACTTGAAGATAGTGAGCCGTAATAACGTTAAATTTTATTTTTATTTTTATAGGCATTATTCATGTCACGGCGATAGTGGAGGGCCGCTGCAGTGCGAGCGGGATGGGCGTTTTTATTTGGTCGGGATTGTCAGTTACGATGTTGCCACATCGTGTCGCGCGACGGGTATGACATATTTTACGAAAATTCGCGGTTTACAAAACTGGATTGAGGGTCAGCTGGAGAAAAGTTTGCAAGAACTTTCACAAACATCGTGATTGACGGAGAACAATTTTCGCGAGAAACTGTTTCTTTGGTTTTGGTGAATTTAGTTTATTTTGTTTGAAAAAGCAGCGCTTTTTCCTTACGACGCACGATTCATATATATGAGCAAAAAACACAGCTGAAGCCGGTGTTTTCGGCTTTCCACTGGTTAATAATTTGATTCCAAATCCGCTGCAAAATGAGTTATGCTGGCCCATTTTGTACATAAATTTACGCATGGCTGACTGATAGCTGCAGTTTCATTTGATATTACCCTTTAAGCTATTCCAGGAAACTGCGGGCTGCATCCACGGATAGCAAATGTTTTCTTACGGTAATTAATTTTTAGCTTATTAGTTAATCGCTGATGTCTTGATGGCTGCACAGTTTAATTTATGGATATCTAGTATACATCACGCAAAAATCGTGTTATTTTATTAATGATGATGCTCGGGAGGCAATGAATAAAAGCTCTGGAACACATTCTTGCTGATAACGCTTAATAATTTATGTCATCCTCTAATAGATTACAGTGTACATCGGATTACGATCATATAGTGTTATACACAGAAAATTCCCTGCTTATATGTACACTTCCCGACTTTCCCGTGTTTTTCTCTCTGAATCATGTGTTGCACGTGAGTCGTGACTGATCTGAGCTATCAAATATGCAGCCTTAATTTAATCGAAATTATTATCATAACCAGAAGTGCTCAATAATAGCGCCATGCATAATGGTATGTATCAGTATGACGTACTGCATCTGACACTCAATTGCCGCCTCAAAAGACTTGATTGCATACCACATTCCTATATTTTGAGAATGTGGAAATTTGATTAAACTTTCGATTATTCAGTCCAGTGATACAAGAAGAGTTGCTAGCCGTTGTCGAATGAGCGGTCTCCTAAAAAGAAAGGAAGCAATTTATTTTGGGATTTCGGATCTTCAAACTTACAAAGTCAGATTCAAAAATGGATGCATTCGTGCGCACAATATAAGTGCAGAATCCAATATAAGTTGTATGTTTTTATAAAAACGGAAGCTGGACACCGAATGAAATAGCTTGCACCAATTAATTAACAATGCTCCGGACATTTACCGTGATTGTATCGGTAGACCATTAAACTACAGCAACGGTATGAATATTGGAAAAAGTTGCATTTCCAAAATGCGCTCACCGAAAGTGTGCATACTGTACTTACTTGGATCAGAGCAGGTGTAGCGCACTTTTAATGGACGAGATCTGCATCCCCGATCGTGCGAGGGATCCTTTGCCCGGATACTGCACGCGACTTTACCATCACAGGCTCCCGTTAAACTATTCCTAATGGAAAGGTCTTGGCAGTGCGGTCCGGTTCCATCGTACTCGGCATCCACAATCTCCACGCGCATACGGGTATCGCCTTCTCTGCATCTAATTTCGGCAGTGTTCCCATCCGCTATGGTTTTTTCATGCGTCGGTGTTGATAACTCTGATTGGACTTCTGGTGCCTATCGTATGCACAGATATACAAACACTGTATTTCCAAAGGCCACGCAATCAGTAATAACGACTAAGAATATTCGACCTGATAATTAATTTTTAGCAGGTATCTGTAGCATCATTTTGCTGTTAATTATTGTCTCTACCTACTGCTTTCACAAAAAAAGCATCGGTGATCATACGTAAATCGGCACATGCGCACGATAATTAAGTTATCGCTCGCTAAATTAGTTATTTTATGCCACAGTTTGCTTACCAGTATCCATGAACACAGGCAAACAGCAGCAATAAGGAAGTGCATGATGATACTTAATTATGTAAGCTAACAGTAAGTAGGTGTTAACTTTAAGTACTTACAAGCTTTTTTATACCAAACAATTATAAATATGTATATAGGGAAATTTGCTATTGGAGTTACACTGCTACCCTATTGTATGTAGTTATACTCTTTGCTGCTGCTGCTGCTACAGGGGCAAATACAAATGGAAAAACACCCAAAGCATCCCGCCTTGCATAACCCGGGCATAGACTGTGACTAGTCATACACAGGCAGAGTTAATGCAGCTCGATCAAAACGTTTGTAAACTCCCATATGAAGTAGTTTGGCAATATCATCGATCTGGATAATTATCTGTAATGGACTTTAAAATGCTGATGCATCGACGCTACGTTATGAAAATCTGATGCCGATTTAACTAAACTTCCATCCTACTAGGAGTGTTTCTTCGAAGGTACTGTAGAAGGGCTGGTTCAAGTTAAATTCAAGTTGCCGCCGAATGTAAGCGTTAATTATATACTGTATTAGCCTGTATTATAGCAATACTGCTTTAAATTTGTTTTTTTTAGATGTTGAAAAAATTCGAAAACTTTTGTATTAAAACGTTGTAATTGTACTCGAAAAGTTTAAAAATGTGTGACCTCAACAAAATCCCATGTGACCCGAGTAAAACAACTTGCAAATTAACGGCAAAAATTGGGACACATCCGTTCGCCTACCTAGCGGTAGTTACATGTTCAACAAACGTTTTTCCTACAAGCTGTTTTAATTAGTTAGTTAGCTGTTTTAGTTAACATATTATGATACCAACGATATCATAATTATTATGTAATTAGAAAATTTATCGCAACAACAATATATATACCCGTGGTACTCTGTTCTGCTGTATACAGATACTATACAGACTCCACAAAAAAATTGCATCCCGGTATATCTACAGATTCTTTACAAAATACAACGACTGTATTTCCATACTCTACAAGACTACACTCTACAGTTTGTATACTATTGTAATAGTACTCGTATAATTTTTCTTTAGTATTTTGCTGTTTATTCTGAACAACAGGATATAGTTCTTACGCAAAAGTCACAAAACCTGCTATAAACAGACAGTTACAAACTCTACTTAGGGTTGTACCGGTGTGCAGTTTTGTTACTGTAAGTTTTCATTTCCGCCTCGCTTGTTCCTGTATGTTATGAGCGTGTACATCCGGATTCGGTAAAAATTTCGGATTAATAATTGTGCTTGTAATCCGCAAAATTAATTATGACTTGACATTTTTGGCCGCAGCAAAAGCACTCGCTTATGAAAATGAGAAAACACGCAGTCATTACATGGTAACCCGTATCGTAACTCATGCACAACAGGATCTTGACCATAGAAAATTCAAGTGCGTAGTAAGTACTGTACATAATTATCCATATAATATTATTCAAGTGCATAGCGCAGGTACAGTACTGTACTGTGCTGCTCGTATTAGTGGCGTTACGGTGTAGAGTAAAATTAATCGTAATAATAATGTATGTACGTACAATATTGATGTCTGCTAAACAAGCCCAGATTACTTATTGTATAACAGAGATCAGAACTTGTGTTACGCCTACATATTTAATTATTAATAAAGCTATTTAAATAAAATTATTGTGTGTGATGATGCATCACATTACCAGATTCATTGACATTGCATTACATGTACTCGTACTTCAATTAATCGTAAAAAAATAAGTACATGAACCAAACCGCACGGCCGTACTGCATTGGCGAACTGATCAGAAAAATTTCCAAGAGCAAACAAGAATGGAAGGTAAACAGCAAAAAAACTTGTACGATGTGTCATACTGGTGATCACTGTCTGGCACGAATCCCAGTTCGTTCTGGGCGGGTCTACCTGATACAACACGCTGAGTCTTTGACCGCTTCCGACGGTCGCGGCCTAATATAATGCGCCAGCGTGGTCGCGTTAACACCGTCTGAAATTATTTTGCTCATAAATCTTCTTGAATCTCCTTATCCGGTTTCATTTGATAGTTGTTACTGCCACAATCCATTTCTCACATTAAATTGCTAAGAGTCTATATTGTACATCAGACGGTTTACCATGGCCCGGATCCTGGTTCTCCTTGCACTCATCGTACCGATCTTCTCGGCTCCAACGCAGAATACTCAAGGGGGCAATAATCTCAGTGGTCAGGATTCTGGACCACCGAAGGAATGCGAGAAACCGTTCGGGGATGGCGAACTGGCCAAGGGAGCCAATCCGTATAACTTCACCGTGTTGGCCAAACAAAGGTCAGATGCCGTTGACTACAAAACGACCTTCAAGGGGGCTCCTGTCGACAGTAAGTGCAATTTCGTCGTATGTCTATTAGGTGTCAACTTTTCTTTCTGCCGGAAGGGAGAAGGATGATTTAATTAACTGCTCTAACACAGACGTAAACAACTAAACCGAAAACATACCGCGTCGGTGCATTTTGAACATCTAACGCTTGATTGTCAACCGGTGGTTGAATTTTAATCTATATTTGCCTAATAAGTTAGTTGCACTGCATTTCTGTCTTCAGTATTTTTAATAAGTCATTTTTATAAACCAGTTCGTGATGCGAGATATAGCGGAAGATGCGTCTGGTTCAGTACGTTTCGACGGTTGTATTTCCGGGAAAAATTTCAGTCGCCAGATTTGGGTTATCTGGAAGATCTGATCAAAACATTAGAACCAATCACTGAGAAAAATCTTGTAGACATGAAGTAGCGGATGTTTTTAAGTGTTTTATCTGTGTACTGATCAAGTTCTCTGTTATTTTTATGAAATTAGCGGTGTCATCTGCATGGTACAAGCCTTTTCAGTAGTTTATAGTTTATAGTTTCATCTCGGTAGCAGGTAACCCATAAACCTGTTGTGTTTTGCATACACAGCATGGGATTAAACCTGGCCGAACACAGCACACACTCATTACCAAACTCCGCTACAGAAGGCATAGTAGCCGGTAATACATAGAATACGGGTTTCAAAAAATTGGCAAAACCCGGTGATTTTGTGTATAGATATTAAATTGCTTATCTATTCTATTTGCATGTTTTGCATTGGAATAGCTTTCGAAATCATAAATCATCTCGTGAAAAAAAGCCGTAATGTTTTTTCTGTTTCTCGTCGTCATGCGCTAATGTGAATACCGTAAAAAATGTACATGGTACAGTCATGGCCAGTTTTCGCTTTAGTCATCGCAATGATTCACCTGTTCAATCGATTTTCCTCTATGCACACAATACGACGCCTGGTATTTGCAAATTAGTTATACGTATTATATAAACGATGAAAAGCCACACAAAATTGTTTACCTATTCGTGATATATATCACCTAAATAGTTACGTAAAAGCGCTTGTTTGCAGCAAATTCTTGACTAAATTTTTGTGTATGTCTATCCAAGCACTTTGAGAGAAAGGCACATGTTTGCTTAGGCCGGGCTTTGTAGAATTACGTTCATAATACCTTCTATTTAGAAAATTCAGAATTGTAATCCATTGGCAGTTATTCGAGACGAACTCAGCACAAAATTAACTGGTTGGTTGTTTGTAGTGATTATCTCATTCAATACTCCTCAGGACGTCGGCCAAGTGCAGGCCTTCGCTCTCCGTGCCGGCCTTCCTTTCCCCGTAGTGCAGTGGCAGACCACGGGTAATTTGAAAGTGGTCAGTTGCATTGCTCCGCAGTCGCTGGATACCATCATCGCCCAAGGCGGCGTGGGACAGCATGTGGCGTTGACCGCCGTTCCCCTCTTAGCCGCCTGGGGCAATCAGGAATCCATCCCGGTGATCTTTGAGATGGCCATTCAGGGTGGTGATGGACAGATCTACGTAGCGGCATATAATGGTACCATCAAGGTTAAGGAAACCGATTACAAATTGCCCGAACGTTTCTTCAAGCCCCCTCCGGAGCTCCTGCAGCAAATGCAACAGATGCAGCAGCAGCAAGGGCAAGGTGGAAGACGCGGTCACGGACAGGGAATGGGAATGCAGGGTAATTTCCAACAGCAAAACCCCAACTTCCAGCAGTTCCGGCAGCGTCGGGAAACTTCTGGTAGGCCAAATGAAAAGTGTAATTTTTTGTAACAGATGAATTGCGTTGGAGTTTTGATAAGCCTGTTAGGCTTCGTAATTTGCAGTTATTGTTAAACTGCTCATCAAAACTACATGCAGCATAAGGCGTAAGGTTTCGCTGCAATGAACCTTCAGTAACAAATCAGTTAAAAGACAATAAAAAATTCAAAATCAAAAAAGTTCGTTTTATAAAATTCGTTACATCCATAACCCGAAAAAGAAGTAGCGGACGAATAAGGTCGTTTGCATGGGAGGTTTGCGGCATATGTAAAGGTTGTTACGGCTGACAACAATTGACAGAGTTTTCTTCTTATTTGCAGAAATGGCTGACCAGGAAGAGGCGGAGTTTGATGGTAATTAATCAATTTTTTCTGTGAGAGAAACCGTCCACTATGCTCGATCTATGTGAGTCATGAAAATGTTGCTGTGTGTCCAGGATCTCGTTTCTAAATCCATGGCAGTACTGTGTTAACATTAACAACCATGTTTGTTTGCTGATGCATATGCGTGTTCCGCGGATGATGAATTTGTCCTATATATTTTTTAATGTTTGTGCGTTCTTGTCGGTCCATTGGCTATTTACATATATTATGTCTGGCCTTTTGTGGTGTGCGAGCAGAATGGTTCCGAGTGATCAGAGATGAAAATCGTGTCGGTTTGTGCGGGGTGTGTTGCAGTACAAGTACCTGTTCGCTGTTGCCGCTAACATTAGCACAAAACTGTCGTTAATTATTACTGTAGTACTGAAGTACGTTCAGCTCTAGCCAGCAGCAAGTGCAATTACCATTTCTTTCGTGTTTTGAAGAAGCGCAGGGTCTCGTTTAAGGGTGAATTAGATGGAAACCAGGAGCAAAATTATACAGTTTAAAATTTAAATAAGATATTTCAAAAAACCAGGCATACCCTGTATATGTCTCTGTAAAAAAGAGTCTGTGATTAAGTATTACCATGGCTGATCTACTTATATAGTACAAATTTTCTTTCTACGGTATGACCGGTTATACGAGTACATACGACCATGTAAGAAGGCCATCAATTTTGCAGTTACGTTAGTTAACCAGGAAACTGCAGATATAGGTAATAACTGCAAAGCACAGCAATTTGCCGCTTTGAGGGACCGTAACCCTCGCGCAACGTGTAGGTCTCACGAGCTACTGAAAGTCCATTTCCGCTAACGTTAGAAGGTACAATGTCCAGTGACCTGTGTCTCGCGTTAAGCAATACACAAGAGCCACCCACACCTGAAAAATGAAAAGCCCTGATGCTTGCTTACCTTTTTTACAGTTTTTGAGTTTTGAGCATTTTTATAAAAGCTATTAAAGCTTTATAACCGCTATGTTTTCGCAGCTGTAAGGAAATCTAATACTAATGCCCTGTTTATCACCTTTGCGCACAATATTTATTTAACAATCAATAATAACTACTACGTACGTTAACCTTTCGTGCTGCAAAAGCCACATCTAAAAACATCTAAAACAGCTATACATCTAAAAATTTGACAATAAAAATGCATAGACGTTCTTCCATATTGTAAAGAATGTTTTGTGCTAATTTAGTACATCGGAAAGTTTTCGGCCATGAATCAAAGCATAGTAGCAACACCTATGTAATGAATATAGGTACGTAACAGTAAATGCAATACTTGGAAGTAGTAAATTAAGAGAAGTTCTTGCCGCCCAAATGCAAAAATAATAGCAAATATAAGAAGCATAGTAACGCTGCACAACTGCGCAACAGCTGCTGCTTGCACTTCATGATAAAAAATATTAATAATGACGTTGTTTTGTTAATAATGTTGCTTTTAATTGCCGTTTGTCACTCACGTCGTTCTTGCGTCGTTAGGCCACGGGTTTTGTGGCTGTGTTAAAACTGCTTTAGCGGAAATTATCGTACGCCGTAAAAAAATATGAGATGCTGTAATTTAATCACACACAGGTTATGAATCTCATCTTCGCGTGAGACGAGCGGTGAACGAAGAAGAAGGGGAAGGAGCCGGAGGAAGAAGAAGAACCGGTTGTCGAAAAGAAACCAGCTAAAAAATCCGCGTCACAGTCCAAGAAAAGTTCCAAGGCATCGAAGAAAGCCGAACCCGTGGAAGAAGAGGAACCGGCAGCGGAAGAAGAGGAAGAACCCGTCGTGGTTAAACCAAAGAAAAAGACTGCCGCCGCGGCTAAAAAATCATCCACTGGAAAATCCAGTGCAAGTTCCAAAAAAGCGAAATCAGAGCCAGTGGTCGAAGACGAAGCGGCAGCGGAAGAGGAGGAAGCACCCGCTAAACCGGCTAAAAAGTCTGCCAAAAAGTCCGGCTCAAAAGCACCCGCCGCCGCCGCCGCGGAAGAAGAGGAAGAAGCTCCTGCGCAATCGAAAAAGACGTCAAAAGGAAAACAAGCAGCTGATGCAGATCAGGAAGACCAGACAGGAGGTAAAAACTCCGGTGCGAAAAAGAGTAAAAAAGCGGCTGAACCGGCTGCAGAGGAAGAGGAAGAACACGGTAGTAAACCAGCCAAGGCTAAATCGAGCAAGCGCACTTCGGAGCCTGATATGGAGGAAGAAGACGAAAATACCGCAGCTGAAGAGGAACCAGCGAAACCAAAAAAATCAGCTCAGCGTAAAGCGAAATCCGAGCCTGCTGTTCACAAAGAAGAAGAGGAGGAGGAGCCGGAAGAACCAGCGTCGAAATCCGCTCGAAAAGCGCCGGTCAAGCATAAAAAGTCTGATAAAAAAGGAAAAAGCCACGGCCATAATCACGATCACGAGGAGGAGGAGGAAGAAGGAAATGAACACGATCACGGCGATGAAGCTGGCCATGGGCACCGGCATCACAAGCACCACTCGAACTCCTTGAAGAAAGCGCAAAAGGATGACATTGGCCACGCCCACGTCCACCATCATCATCACCACGAACACCACAGCAAATGTGGATGCGGAGACAGCAGTAGCTCCAGCGAGGAAAGCAAAGACAAGAAAAAGGATGGAAGTGATGAAGAGGATGGCGGTAAAAGGAAGGCCCAAGGTCACAAGAAAAATGCTAAAAAGGATGATGGATCCGACGAGGAAGAGGAAGAGCACGGTTCTCATGAGCATCAGTCGGCAGCGAAGAAATCAAAGAAATCCGCCAAAGGCTCGGAAGAGGATGGTCAGCATGGAAAGAAAACCAAAAAGCAGGTTGCTAAGTCGGAGCCCAAGAAAAAAGCTGGGAAGAAAGCGGCGAAAGGCAGTGAAGAGGATGGAGCGGCTGGGCATGAAGATGGAGATGCTGAGGCTGAACATGATCATGACGAAGCGGGTGGGAAAGAGGAAGGCAGCGAAAAGGGCAAAGGAAAGGGCGAGGGACATGGTAAAGGAAAGGGAAAGGATGGAAAGGGAAAAGATGGGAAAGGAGAAAAAGCTGGCGGTAAAAAGGGGGCGGCTGGAAAAGAAACTGGAAAAGGGAAAAAGGGCGCTGCAGGCGCTGGTGAGGAAAGCGCAGCGAATGCGACGACAGGAGCTGTAATATTCGCTGGACTGGGCAACAGGTACGTGCACTGAATTTTAAGTGTTCGATCCGTTCTTAGCGCAGGCTTGAGAAATTTTATAAGCTATTAAATTTGAAGCATAAAAATACTGCATAATTCTATTCATGAACATAACCAGTAATTCCACGCAGGTCGACACAGAGTGCGCAGAGCTACATTGCTGGGGTACATCGTAAATTGTTGAAATTGTTTATCTGTACTATATTGAATTGAATTTAAACGCAAAAACCAACGTCTTACGATAATAAGGACATAATATTTGTACTGTACTTACTACTTACAGGGCAATTGTCGACCACGTCGGTTATATATTATATGGATGCATGTATATGGTTATATATATGGATGTACCGTACAGTATGATGTACAATATCTGTGGAGTAGGATGCGTCTTACAGTAGACTGTAGAGCGTATATATACAAGTATATAAAAAACACACTTCTTTATGTTTTCACGGAAATCTGCATTCGTTTAGTAGGTCGAATAATTTAGGGCAAAAATGGTGCACTGTTCAGTTGCATTGCTTTTATATGCTGTAACTTTTAATTTGATCAACGAAAAATCCATTAAATTTTTTTGTTTAATAGCTCGTCGACATGGAATTTGACGGGCCTTTCTTCTGGGAACACCAGCCAAGATGCAAGCAACGCCACTCTTTCCGGTCTGCAAATTATGGGAGCGATATCATTAGGCCTACCTCTTTTTGTCGGATCCGTATCGAATGATTCAAATTCGTCAGCAAGCAACGCTGGCAGCGCAACGAACGGTTCGATCAGTGTGACCTTTGACACTACCACGTCTGCCAGCACCGGCTTCACTGCCAGCATCTCGTTCATAAACGACACTACAACGGCTGGTTTATCATCCGGTGTAGCCGCGCGTCGCAAACGGGAAAATGATGACGAGGACGATGTGGAAAACAGCCAAGAAGAAGAAGATAAAGAAAAGAAAAAAGACAAAACAAAGAAAGAAGGGAAAAAGGGAAAGGGCAAAAAGAGCAAATCAAAATCCACTGATGCCCCAGTTATTCCCGTTCCTGCTCAGATCGAAGTGAACATACTCGTACTTCCTTCTGCGAATCTTACCGCCGGAAACCAAACCGAAGCACAGACAACAGCCGCTACAACCGAGGCAACTACATTGGCAAGTACAACCGTCTCGTCCACACCAGAAACCACATCGATTTCGCAAACATCAGAAGCGTCCGCGTCGACGACCTCTACGGCAGCAGCGACCACACAAAGCGGGGTACTTGTGATTGGAGTCCGTGATGAACAGACTACCACCACTGCCGAACCGTTCACCATAGCCGGCACAGTGTAATGGCGCCAAGTCAAGAACCAAAATTTTTTGCTCATTTCAAATGCATTTTCGGATCCGTTCAGTTTTAATTTGTCTAGATGTAACAAACTGCATACTCGAAGATCGTTAAGCAGTCGAGGTCTACGTTAAGTTTAGAAACTGTCTAATTTTGTAGCATACATTATATATTTGATTTTCCTTTTGTGGGCGATTTCTGACAGCAAACATCATAATTATCATGTTGAGAATATATTAGTAGGTAAATCCGCTCAGAAAGCCTCAGCCAACCAACTATTAAAATACTCGTAAAAGTTTGAACGAAATATTCCTTACCTCATGATGTCGTCATACCAGCGAAGAATAAGTTATTTCGTGACTGGACCCCGTTTCTTTTATCTCGGAGCATAAAATAATTACGCAGTGAAATTTTATATATACCGCAAGACTGCACAAATTATGTGAATTTACGGTTGAATCGATGCAGTAAATTTGTCGACAACAAATTATTATACCAGGGGACCGCAATAAACTAAGATTTCTGTTACTTGCGCTATGGCACATTTAATAACACGAAATGCACAAAGAAGAACAGTGTTTGTAACACAGAAACAACAATATTAACGACAAAATAATCGTAAAACACTTTGGAGATCTGATTCTCTAGTCATGAACTAGCTATAACTTGGATCACGAAAATTATCTATGAAAATTAACACAAAAAGGACACATAAATATCGACTACAAACTACAGGTGCAGCGACGCATACATTTTTACAATAAAGTAGATATTAAGCGGACAATAGAGTAGATTTTAAGCGGACAACTGCAACTTCGTCTGTCAACGAAGTAGCAGTATGAGGTATCACTAGGAGTACCAAAAATAATTAAGACTAATAATTAAGATTATTCGCACTATTACAAAACAGCGTATGCAGTACAGTGTTCGTACAGTTAGCGAACTGCTGTCAAGATTTGTAATTTTGCAAATTCGCAACAAACAACAGCCACAAATCGTTGGTAATTAATCAAACAAAATCCACCGGTAGCGCAGGAGTTGTATATTTGCTGGCGCTTAGCGGTACGGTTGGATTTATTCGCAGCGCACGGGTGTCATTATTACCATGCAGGCTGTACGCTCGCTCGCCACGTCGCAGTATTTCATAATGTCCATCCTGTATTTCCCCATCGCTTTCCGCTTTCCCTGAGTCGGTATCCGGATTCTTCGCCGATGTCCAATTAGCCAGTTGGCTACTGCGTTCCTCGAGGATAGTCGAACTCTGGCGCCGGTAAGTGGCCAAGAGACGCGGGTGTGATACACTATCGACGCCCGCAACCCCCATGGGAGGCAAAAGCTGATCGATCTCCATTGCGGCGGCCACCGCAGCCGGCAAACCGCCATCCAGGCTATTTGCCTTGCGTGTCAGGGTCATATGGGGCTTTTGTGGGAAATCATGTGCAACGCCGGCCAAGTGATATTTATGGGGATGATGAATGGAGACGTTGGCGAAGATGGAGCCTTGTCGTGAACGGACGCTGGATGCCAATGTCTCACGACTGCCACCCAGAGTGTGCCACGCATCATGGATCGCCATGGAGAAACGTCGCCAGCCGGAAGTGGATGACTTTGATTTGCTGCCGGTGTCTGGAAGGGGGGTGAAAAGATAGCTTAGAACTTAAAAATAAATGTTATGTGTCTGTGTACAAGGTCTCTGTGTGTGATATTCGGTTTCCGTGAAAGAAGAGTTAATGACCGATAAATATGCTGGCTGATATATACGGGACAAGTGCGCTCTGTGCCGGCAGCTGTGGGATGCGCTATGAGCTACACCACGGCATGATCGTCAAAATGGAACAAATTTGAATCTGTTAACTTCTGTAAGAGGGTGTGCCGGCTGACAGGCTATGCTCACTTTGATCGTTTGTACTTGGAATTGCAGATGATTTAATGAAGTTCATAAACAAACAAGAATTCGTTTCATCAAATTGCAATTGCGCCAATCGATTTGTAACCTAGTTTACTAAAGCCCTTGGATTGAGGAGTTCCACATACACAATTATTGTGGATGTGGTCTTCTCTAGATCTGCCACAGCCAAATTCAAATCAATCACTGCAGGCGTAAAGTAAAGTGAAGCAGATGCCGCACCGATTTAACGTACATTTCTACGAAATTTTATAGTCTCTGGCTGCAGTTCTCCCATTAAACTCCCCACAAGTATTTATAATAATTTATATAACTATCAATTTCCTTTTATCGCCACAGTACAGTATATAAGTATTTTAAACAGCCCCTAAAGCGGAAATTGACAATAAAAATCGAAGGCTGCTCTGTATTTATATGTAAAGCAGAGTCGATTTAAACGATAAAGTAGCTAACGACACTCATTTTATTCTGTAGCACAGCATACATTATTATTGAAAACATGAAAAATATTTTATAGAAAACACACAACTAATGATTTGAAGAAAGGAAGCCGATGCGGATAACACCAGGCTCCAGATTACGAGTCCGCAAGTAGTGAGCATAAAACTTGTCATTCCTCACCACATCTTGGAACTGTTTTCAAGTTTAACTACACAATAATATATTCTTTCGTGAAAAAAATGAAATGTGCTTCCGCGAAGGTCGTGGGAATACGTCTCGTTTATGTGGTGGCAAATAAGTAAACAGAGACGCGTCTCACCACATAAAACAACCACGAGTCCATCCAATCAAATGTTTTATTTACTTGTTTTGCATGTTGTGCTATCGTAAAAACAGTGAAACCAAGGAATTTTACGATACGGAATATTATTTACATCTTGACATAGCAGCTGTCTAGCTGTCATCGGATCAGTGACTGTTTAAATAACGCAAATGTGCGATGTGACAAACGATTTATTCATTTTTCGCGCCAAAATCTAGGCCAGTATCCCAGTCAAACGTCAGCTGGGATTAAGCGCCAGTTCATTGGATATTATAAATCGGGTGTTTCTAAAACACTGACAGCTTAGATGTCCTCCTACCAGCTAATTTTTACTCGCACATGCTGACGACATTTGAGTCATTGGCTTTCGATATGAATTACCATTAAAATTATTGTATCTGATCCGTAAAAATGATGCAGTGGTAGCATACTTCTATGTATGTTGGCTATAACTGTCTGACAAGACACGTTTTTTTGAATAGTCAGGGTAATAAAGACTAAGTCCTAGTCAGGGAATAGTCACGGTAAGAAAATTTAATCTTATTACTTAATTGACCTTTGAGAAAATCTTTTTTAAAATAATCGCGCAGATGTGCACACCATGAGCTGTTAACTTCCGGTCAAGTAAATTCAAAAACTGCTAAAGGCTAATTTCGCTGAGTTTGCGTCGTTTTGATTAGAAAAACGAAAAATTTGGACGACATTACAGGTACTTCTTCCCATCTTTTAACTGCTTGCACGTCAATCATTGCGACATTTTGCTTCGTACAACTTACAAGTATTTGCGTACTTAAGCAAAACCATTGAAAACCCATTTGAAAGCAAATCTACAGGTTCCCTTTTTTGTAGTTATATGTGCATACCTGGTGATTCATGGAGTGCCGGCACGGCACGCTGCAACGGTCGCTTCTTCTGAGGTCGGCAACATAAGCGGAAAAAGTTCTTATAGCCTGTCCGGAAGGCCTGGGATCGCAGGGCGTAGATAACCGGGTTAATACAGCTGGCGAAGTACATGCAAATGTACGCCTGAAAAGAATGTGGACATGTTCAATTAGAACTTAATCGTCACTCATCGTTTAAGGACAAATAAGATGGATTATCTGAGCTATCAGACTCCCCCGATCCCATAAGAAAAAAGCAACAATGAAGTACATGAGATCCTTTTTTGAGCCGAGCAATGCCCTTCTCATGTCCTGATTATGAGCTCATCCGTAGCCAAACTCAATCTCTGCTCACTTGGAACGTGGAGTGACCTCGCTCACTTTACATGCCTCGCAGCGGGATAGAGCCGGCTTATTAGCTGGCTTTGGCTGCGGATATGGCTCTTGGTTTGTTTTTCAAATCATTTACTATGGGCTGATTATGAAAAACAAACATGAGATGACCTCTTTCAGAAATTATTTCAGTTTACTGCAGACGTATACTAATAACAAGAAACGGATACCAAGTCTAATGCTCAAAGTGTCTCGCTGGATTTGCACAAAAATTTTCTGTATCCTAACATGTTTACTTAAAAATGATAATTTCAAGCTCCATAATCGATCCATTTTATACGTCATATACCGATATATTTTGAGTATGACATACCACATAAACTACTAAATTATAACGTCTACTGCATGAGAATTATATTATTTACGATAGTCCTGTTTTAAGGAACGTATATTAAGCGTGAAGTATTCGTACTTTTGTACGCAGCTAAATTGCTTATACAATATAATATATAAGTACGCATAGTACTACTCCACATATTTTAAACAAACCACTCGTAAAATTGGTAAAACGATTTGGTTGACTAATTAACTCACCATGGGATTAAAAATTTTTGGTATAGTTAGCTTGTCTTTGGCAAAAGCGATAGCGGAAGAATAAGTAACGTAAGGTGCCACGCAGATGAAGAATCCAACCAAAACAATAATCAGTGTAATTGCAATTTTCTTCTGCTGCAGCACAGCACGTTGTTGTGCGGACGCGACGTTGTCCACTTTTTGGTCTTCCTTGTTTAGGTTGTCGATATGACGGCGGAAGGTGCGAAAGATCGACACATAGCAAAACAGTATCACTATCATTGGAATAACAAAATTTGATACTGAGGTGAAGATTGAGTGGCTGCTTTCGCGGACATTATTACGATCCGGCACTTTCGGGCCACACTGCAACCAATAATAAAGTATCAACGTTTGTGCCAAAAATTATCATCATTAATTATGTTTAAGTGATCGAAATAATGTACAGCTACTGGTAAGTTCAGCTTTCTTTTAATTGTCCCGGTTGGGTTATTCACTGTTCATGTGTGACGTTTCTGATGTTGGGGTGAACTATATTTATGGCTCTCCAGTGGGTGATATCGAAATGTAGAACGTCAGAATGTGAGCAATGTTGATAATCCAGACCGAAATGTAAATACACTTTGAATTTTTTTCCGAGAAAAACAGCTACCAAAAACAAATCGACGAATTTTAAAGATTCTCAAGCAAGATTCACCCTGTCGTTACAGAGGATGACGCAAATTCGTTGTAAAAAATGACAAACCATATCTGCCATAGAAAAACTTTACTATGTGTGTTCGTTTTCCCAGTCACACAGTACTAGCTGGAAAATTACAAAGTATTGGCCTAAGGACATCAATTTTGATTGTGCCCGTACGTTTTACAAGCACAACGTGTCAAATCCACTGATCTCGCAATGTAGGTGTTTTTAGCGGATTACAAACAAAACTTGCAGCTGGTGTTTCGCCGACTGTGCAGAGCCTGATGGACACATTGCTTTCTCTCAATGCATTGACACGCTTAACGTGACGAAACCACAAAGTGCAAAAGAGTGTAATTAGGATGTTTATTACTAATCATTTCTGACATTTCGCTCGGATTACAAGCGCATGTGTGACAATGCGCTAGATCGTGTTATTACTGTTAACAGATAAATTGTTTTCTATACGAAAATTTTTGGAATGCGAATTTCTTAAATCTAATTACCAGCTATTCACAGCTGTAAACTACGAAAACAATACAAAAATAAATCATGCTTTTACACTTCATAACAGCCATAAAAGTCGCTGGTTTAATTAAGATGGCTGTTTGCATATGCATATTGAGCGCTTAGGATTCCATGGCACTTTTCGGCCTGAAATTTATATTTTAAGTTTATTAAAATTAATATTTATTGCATTTAACATTAAAGCTAATCTGTTAGAAGAATTTCATTATTTATCGTTACTGTGTAGAATTGATTATGTACTGTAACACAATTCGAAAATTAATCATTATTATACAACCACTCTTGCAGTATTGAGTTACCATATTTCAAAGTTAATGTTTTGGTAAATGAATCTTGTCACATGGCGAATTCGCAATTCAAAATACGGAACTGCATCATTTTATTACTACGATCCACAATTTACTTTTGCCTGCGGGCGACGCGTGCGGTTGAAAATACTCCACACCGGATATGTATGATGGAATAAATACTTGCTGACCGTCGTGCTCGACAATGATTGACACACGTGTTTACCTGTGTTGTCCCGATTTTGTACTCAATTGACGTCCAACCAGCAACAAGTCCCATTGCAAAGAGAATTCCCCAAATCCATGTCGCTCCCATCATCAGCCAGATGTGCCGGGCGGTTAGTATGGCATGAAACACGTTTTTAATGGAGAAATATTTATGGATACTTATGTACATAAGCGTATGAATGGACGCGCTGATAAAAAGAGCATTCAAAAAGCCGTTGATCTGACAAGCCGTTTCACCAAGTTTCCATCCTCCATTTATGGCTGTTATCATGGAAAAGGGCATCGTAAGGAGGCCTGTGAAGGGCACATGTATAATTTTTAATTAAAGATGCCTGCAAAAAATGATTGCGCACAAAACTGTCTTAAAAATTAACTAATGAGTTTAACCTGGATGTGGTGCCGGTAATTACCATAACACAATGTCGTACTTTAATATCCCGCAAACTGCCCAGATCGAGTACTATATAATATGGTGCGTATAACAAGAGCCAAGGTGTAAGCGGAAACTATCAAACCTTTACGTTCCCAGCCAAATCTTGGGAACAATGTAATGAAGACTAAGAAGATCTTAGTATATTTAAAACAGTTTAAATAACATAACCCCAAGCACGCGATATCATTGCTGCAAACCGGATCCTTTAAAACCGTTTTCGTAATTAACGGTACAACTGTAATTGTATGTAATATTTCACCACGTTTGCCTATAGACAGAACTTTACTGAACTTAAAAATAAAAATTAGCTAAATGACGTGTACGCTTTCAGTGGTCAAACTTTGACGTTTTCCTCTGCTTCTGTTTCATATGCATAAACAACAATTTACGTTAGCATAATCTTTCCGCTTTTCGTATACTTACAATTTGTGGTTTTTAATTGTTACTTAGAATGTTATAGCAGTCGGGACTACAAGTACAGTACCTAGAGTAGAATTACGCTGTCTTGTAAGGTAAGTGGACATTCACTAGATCAGTACATACCTGTCAACAGATCAATTGCGCTTAAATTGGCAAGAAGCATATTTGTTCGTGTCCTCATCCTTCTGAATCGCATTATGATCATCAGGACCAGGAGATTTCCGGTGACACTGAACACAATCAAGAATCCGAAGAAGGCCGCCAGCACGTAATTTATTGGAGGATGCAGATAGAATAATTCATCGTGCTGATTAGCTGGACTGTGTGACATATTGGCGACCATATTGTGATAATTTCTGCGGAGCACGCTGATTGTTTCCGAAGATTGCACACGTGAAAAATTACTTTCCAGTGCCTGAAATTCGAAACAGATTAATATTACATATACTACTGTTCACACCGTATAGCAAAGCCATGCGAAGGACAAAACGTACGCCGTCGTTGCTTTTAAGAAAGATAAAGAATTGTACGATTTGGGAAAATGGTGCAAGAGTAGCAGGAATCATGGCTTTGATATAAAAAAGTTTAATGTCGACCAATCAGACGCCTACACTTCGTACTACATAACCGTCGACTACGCTGTTTCAAATCGTATACGTTGCCGGCGACAGTGGTCCATAAAATGCTTACACAAAGGGAATTCTCATCTGACGACGATAACGACGCACTTCTCCTTCGGCAGTACTGCCTTTAACGTTTTCAGGAAACGAAGTTGCATTACAACTTTGTGGCGAGCGTAAACACGATGATTGGTGCATATTTGGGTTATATGTAGATGTACATACATACTTACCAACTTATGCCGCGCTTCTCAGGATGGTATCCATTTCGTTTGCGCCGGGTGTGTCTTCTGATTTGAATAATTAATTGCAAGACTTCACACCCTGAAAAAACATTCAAGACCTTCATATGTCAAACTAGATCACAATTGTACAATATTCTGCGTAACAGAACAGAGTACATTAATGTATACAGACTATACAGTGAATTTGATTTATAAAGATAAGACCATAACATAAAATGGAGAATCACGATAAAAAAGCATTATATATCATGTGGAACCGTATTCGTTGTACTCGACTTGCAGTACTCGTATTCATACTGACCGGCAAGACATGTACACATACCGCCGATGGGGCATATGTTTTCCCGTTATGCAATAAAACTTCATTTCAGCTACTGGATGACAATAGTACCTCTTACAGAGTTACGCAACGGGAAGGATGCATTCGCAAACAGTAAAGAATAACCACCTCCGTCTGCTTAATTGAATGCATCTTCATACGATGCGCTCTGGTCAACACCGGTAATAATTATTTCCGGTGGAAGGGCAAAATAATCTGGGACCGAAAATTACGTGATGCGCTGCTTTTGATCGAGGCTCCGGTGTACTTATTCAGAAGAAGTTGCGTAACAATATCATTATTCGCAATTACTACTCGCGCGGCTTCTGTTTGCAAGCATACAGATATTAATAAAGTTTACTGCCATAAACAAAGCTCACAGAGAGATCAAAGAAATTGTACCGTATAATAATCGTCAGTAAACAGCGGAAGTATCATAAATCAATATAAAAATAATTGTTCCCTTACTGTTTAAGACAGTAGGGAAGAAAGGGCATACGGTGATGTAATAACTGTCCAGCAGCTACTGTAAAGTATTTATATACTCTCTTGTAAAATAGTACGCCATGTCCTCCAATGGGTCATTCTACCAAATCTATAACGGTTCTGACTGCATTATCACAACCTAAATTTTCAAGACAGAAGTTAAATGGGTGCACTATGCTTATCTTGTGCGTCTCTTCCACTGAAAAACTTGATAATAATTACTTTGCTAATTACAAGGCCAAAAATTCTATCCTAAGAATTTGTGCTTTATTTCCATAACCATGTCGTTGTTACTGCTGTTGACGATGCCGACCATGTCGCTTCGAGGTGCGAGCACGGAAAAAGCCATAAAAAGAGGCATTAACAGTTCGAGACCATTAATCATTTTCAGTGCTACTAGCACTTGACAAAAACCCTACGTAGTGTATCTGCACAATGCAATATTCCGTACACGCCGTGACCGAATCAGTACGTATCGCCGATTGGTGACTAACACGAAAACACACTTAAGTTTAAGTGATTCGGGAAAAATATTCAAGGGAATGATATCAAACATTATGGTTAGTTTACTTTGATTTACAAGAGCAGTTTATTTGACAATCGCGGTGGTTTCCGCTAAAACGACAACATTAAGTTCTTCCTTAGCATAAGTCATCCATTAGCTGCTTGCGTAGGATAGTGTACATAAAACTATATTCCAGACCGCATTGCCGAATAATCGCACCGCAAAATGCTCTAATAATTGCCAAAAACTAAGAAATGCTTCTTACAGTCTGGTACAATATACCGTGTATTATGCGTGTATAAATCATATGGGCCAAAAGTTCCGCTCCTGCAGAAGCACTTATCTGATGACCTTTCCAGTTCAGCGAGTTGCGCCAGGTAGTCTTTAGGTATATTATATGCTCTTGCAATTAAATTTGGAAACGACAGGATTTTTGCAGTGTATGTATATTAATTCAAAATACAGCAGTCAATGTCGCCAGTCGCATGCTTATTGTATTGCAGCAACATTTTTCTTCTCCAAACTTCGTAGTTCCTGCGGACAGTTCACCGAAATCATTGTAGTACTGTACCTTAATTTGGTTCAACTGCTTGCAGTGAACTTTGCGGAACATGCAGTAAAACAGCGCTTTTCGAATTGAAAGCTCCTCAAGCTCATACTTTATTAATAATTATTATTATGTACTGTAAGTACCGCTACGTATACGATTACGACGATGCAGCCAAATCATTAACTAGCCGAAAAACTCGTGGCTGTTAATAACAATACAGCATATATATATACGGCATCCTGGAATTATAGAAATTCAATAAAAACTGAGGTACTACTGTAGTTATAAGTCACCAGAGCACCGGAGAAGAGCTTCCGAGAAAAGCCGACAACCAACTATAGTGCACTATAGTGCATAAATCATAGCTTATGCAAGGCCGAGCAAACACTCCCTAATCATTGCGCCGTCCCGCTTTCTTAAAAGAAACCTATGCAGAAACGCAGAAGAGAATTGCGTCAAAATGGAGCAACAATAACAGTTTAACAACAAACAACAGTCGGCAGGGATCTAGTTCGTTAGCCGAAATCCTTAGGACATTTATCGACTGGGAAATCGACCAAGTTATCCAACTTAACGCTCCTTGTTACAAAACTCAAGTGAGCCACTTGCGCTTTTTGAACCACCCGCTGCTGAATGATCGAGGTGACCAGACGGTCATGCAAAATCCGTAAATAAATGCATAACACTAATACGTGCAGCTGTAAATAATAATTCCTGCTTCGAGAAAGTTCAGAAATATCTTTACTATTACAATGCTCCAACACCCTGCTTTGCTGAGCTAAATAAAACAAGTCCTCACTGGGAACTAGAATTCGTTTAATCGAATAATTAATTATTAATAAAAACAAATACGTACTTATATATCCAAGACAGCTTAACAAAGAAGCAAATAACCAATTATCATAACCAAACATTAAACGGAAATATAGAAATAATATTATATAAAACAGCGGCACACATGCAAACGGAAATGTATATCAGAGACCCAAAACTAAACTAGGAATCTCATGGCTAAATGATTCTTGGAAATACAAAGACTGATGCGATGTTTCTGCTGGGTTTTAATGTACTAATAATTCCCAATAATTCGGTTTAATAATCAACCACATAAATAGATAGTAGATACAGTGCGCAGAGTAGATTAGGCTTCCGCTTCGCCACCTTCACCTTCCTCTTCGAATTCACCCTCATCTTCGGCCGTAGCCTCCTGATACTGCTGATATTCGGACACCAAATCGTTCATGTGACGGAGAGACGAGTACGATAGGGATAATACCGTAATATCTATCCTACCGACCTGACTCAACGACAGAGAATGAGCTGATAATTTCAATGTGGCATAGCCAAGAAAAATGTGTAAGCTACGAACTACGCGAAGCGAGAATCTGACTGCATTCCGACGATAGATTTTAATAGAAAACTCTCACACTGCCAAACTCCGAATGCCAACCAACTGATACCAAAATCCTGTAACTCTCGGACTTATATAGGCGCGAAGCGCGTCCGGTTAGAAAAGCCAAAAGTATAACCCAAAACAAAAGAGAAACTGCGAGAAAGTACAAAAATATAGCCGACAAGTACGAGTACAGATGTATAGAAGTACGTACATCGCTGCTACTGTACACCATATTCCGTCACCCCCGCAAACGGCTTTTGGGGAACCCAACACAAAAAGAAACGAAAGGAACATGAAAAACAGGAATAAAAAACTAAATGAAAATGAGTTCTCACGCTCTCGACTGGGTAAGGCGGGCAAAATCCATCCTCCGTCCGAGAATGACATGATCCTCCTCCACGGGTGACTGAGTGAGATGGTGAATGAGGAGAGGATCCTTGACGGGGTGGAAGTGAGAGTTGGCAGGAGAAAGTGAGTTGGCAAAACGGCAGTCGGAGAAAACACAAACAGGAAAATCGTCGGAAAAATAAAGAGGAATTTCAGTGGCAAAAATCAATTGAAATTAACGTAAAATCGCCGATGAAAATTCAGCAAAAAACATCCGCGAATAAACAGGAGAATAAAATAAAACGCCACTTCCGCACTGAGGAATATTGTCAGCAAAATGCACGAAAATCACAAGGGAAAACTGAGCAAAATCCACTCGGAGATCAACAGGGATTCAGTAAAAATTAATGAAAATTCGCAAAATCAGCAGAAACTGTCAGCGCGATCAGAATGAGAAGCGAGTCTGCTCAGTACCAGTTGACGGCGGAGCATTCTTGCGGGCATCCACAGCCATCTGCTGACGAAGCTGCTGTTGTCGTTCGCGCTCCTTATCTGCATCATTCGTAACTGCTGAAGCACCTACTTGGCCAGTGGGAACAGTAGAAGAGCTGGCTGAATTATGGGCAGGGACTGAACCATTTCCTCCACCAGCAGTCATATCAACATCGCCATCACGCACAACATTACCAACACTGCCACTCTGTCCATTCTCGGGATCAGCAGCAAGATCTCGTCCAGCTCGTCGCCAGTTGTCCGTGGGAACAGAGGCATTTTCACCAGCGTTAGCGCTACCACGTCCTCGAGCTTCACCACCGCGGCTTCTACCAGCAAATCGTCCGCGACGACGACCATAGCCACCTCGCTGCGTTTGAAATCCTGCGGCCATCAGCGTAGTACTGTACAGGCCCTGCAGTAACTGATTCCGATAGTGTGCACGGGCACGGCCGCCACGTCCACGATTAAAATACGGTGGCATTATCACAAAAAATTCCAACTTTACAAAACAAACTGAGATTCCTAGAGAGAGATCATCACTCTACAGAGAAGAAAACCGAAGAACCCAAAATCAATCCAAATATGTGCAACTGTGAATTTTTGCAATGCGGTGTTTTTACCCACAGTGCTGCAACATACAGATACCGAATTAACCTGCCGTCTCGCGGCGGTTACGACAGTTCCCGGGGACTTCGGGGATTACTGTTTATTAATTAGCCTGTCCGGCTGTTTCACTTTTCTTCCATATCTCGTTCTCACAGGAACGACGGGAACATCCTCGACTTCCGGTTCTGGCAACTCTGGCCTAACAGGAAACTCCTCAATCTCGTCTTCGAGTTCTTTTTCTACGGGCTTAAGCGGCTTATGACTTGCGCTCATATCTTCCATATCAGTCAGCTCCGGCTCATCCGGTTTTCGCATATTATACGGTCGCATCTGCGATACGTGCACTACATCCAGTTTCACTGCTCCCCTTTTGTTGCATTGTACTCTGTAGTGAATACTCGACAGTTTCGCCTTCACCTCATATCCGGTGCGCCAAAGGCCTTCAAACGCCTTATGCTTTCCTTTCGTACGCGCCATAGCTCGCACCATGACTTGATCGCCAATTGCATATTCAACTTCTCGTGCGTTAGCATCGTACCGGATCTTATCTTTCAGACGCTGCTGCGTTTCTTCCGCTCGTACCTGATCCAGTGCATCTGACAATGTCAGCTGTAAATGCTGAATAAACAAATGCGCAGGAATCGGAAAGTCCTCGTCGCCGTCATACTTCGAATGAAGTTATCTTGCGGTAAACGCAAGTCTTCACCATACATCAGTTTCGCAGGTGTAAAACCGCCAATACGTTTTACCGGCTTCGTGTTAAAGGCGAAACAGATAGCTGGGAGGTACACATCCCAATCTGTTTGCTCATCGTTTATGTATTTAGATATTGCTTTCTTAAATTCTCCCACACGTTTCTCTGCTAACCCGTTTCCCATATTGTGGTAAGCAACTACCGGCACGTGTGCAATTCCCATGACGGCGGACAATTCACCAAACATGTCTGACATAAAGTTGGACCCTCTGTCCGACGTCAGATTCTTCGGCACACCAAACGGCATAATTATTTTTTTCAAACACGAACTGTGCTAGCGTAGCACTGTCGTTCGCTTCTACCGCTTGTGCGACAACCCATTTCGAACCATAGTCAACACCGATCATGATGTGTTTTTTACCATTTTTAGTTAACGGTAAACTGCTAGCAACGTCGATCGACCAACAGCTACGCGGATTTACAATCGGATTATGCTGTAAAAATCCAGCAGTTTTCTGGTTAACAGGATTACGCGCCTGGCACTGTGCACAGGACATCACGTAGTTCGTCACACTTTCTTTCATGTGCGGCCAGTAAAAGTATGCGTGCATCTTTTTGTACGTGGATTCAATGCCTTGATGCGCGGCATACTGTGTGTCATGATTTTCGAACAGAAACTTCATTCTCCACTGGTACGGTACATAGAATAGGTAAAAGTCTTTACCGTTCACAGAGTACCGATAGTACACAACGCCTTGTTTCAAAATGAACTTTTTTCAAGTACCGGCGCTGGTACGGCTTCATGTCCTGCGTAGGATCACTGAGTAATGACTTCCAGTGTGCAATTACGCGGTCTTTGACTGCTCTTCCACCCAGTACTGTGCGCGCTGTTCTGGTACGAACGTGACTTCCGTATTATTTTTCACTTCTTTCCGCTCTGCTTTGTTGAATAAACGGACTTCAGCCCTGAACGCGTCAATGTACTGTACTTGTTTGTGGTTTTCTCTTACGCACTGCATCGATCTGTGCTACTGTTTCCGCATCCGGCTGGTCATCTTCGCGGTAGTCGGGGATAACATCCGACTCGTTAGACTCCGGCTCTCGCATGTTACCGGTCTGCCTTGACAAGGCATCTGCTTCGACATTGGCCGCTCCCTTAATGTACTTGGGAACCATGTCATAGTCTTGCACGTACAATGCCCAACGACCAATACGCCCATGCATATCTCGCATGTTGCGAAGAAACGTTAATGCGGCGTGGTCAGTGTACACTTCAAACTTTTTATACGCCAAGAAGTGACGCCATTTTTTAAGCGCACAAATGAGTCCATACGCTTCCAACTCGAGTGGGAAGTATATTCTGCTCTGAGTCGGCGTAAGCAGTTTGGACAAATACGCAATCGGCCGCCAGTGGCCATCAATAAACTGCTTGAGTACTGCGCCAACGGCAATTTTCGAAGCATCAATCACCATCTGTATCGGCGCCTGGTCATCGAAGCGCGCCAATATCGGAGCAGAACACAAAGCATCTTTCAGCTGCTGCATTGCGTTTTCTTGTTCCGGTCCCCACTTAAATTCTGCTGATTTCGGGACTAACCGCTGAAGCGGTTCAGCTATGTTCTGAAATTTGGGAATAAACTGTCTGTAGTAACCGACCATACCAAGAAATCGCTGTATTCCCTTGCGGTCTTTCAACGGACCGAACGATTTTACTGCTTCCAGCTTTTCCGGGTCAGTACTGATACCGTTACTATCGACAACATGACCCAAAAGGATATTTTCTCCATGAAAATTCACATTTGTCTGATTGATCGTCCAGCCGCACTCCTTCAAGCGTGCAAGGAGTTCTGCCAGGTCACGAAAGTGCTCTTCTATGGTATCCGAAAACATATTATGTCATCGATAAATACGAGTACTTTCTTATGTTTTAATTCAGCTAAAGTCAAGTCCATGGTTTTTGAAATGCGCTTGGCGCATCTTTCATTCCAAATGGAAGTACTTTATACTGGTACGTAAATTCTTCAGCTACCATTGTAGCTTTTTTCCGGTCTTCTTCTTTCAGCTGAATCTGCCAGAAACCTGACTTTAAGTCGATCTTCGAAAATACTTTCGCTTTCGCAACTGCGTTTAATATGTCATCGATTCTTGGCAGTGGATAGCTGCTGCCCTGCAGTTTTTCGTTTAATTTTCGGAATCTACCGTCAGCCGTCGGCCGCCGTCTTTTTTCTTCACAATACATATGGGCGATCCCCACGGGGAATTAGTTAACCCAATCTATCCCATCACGCATCATTTCTTTGTTTTTCTCGGAGCCATTTTCTGTCCTCGAAGGACACACGATACGGTGGCTGTCTTACAGGTGCACTCGTACCTGTATCGACCGGGTGCTCATATATATTGCAGCAACCGACCGGTCTCTCTTTTGTTGGAAATACTTCCTTGTTTTGGCGAAGTATTTTGTACAGGCGTTCAATGTTTTCCAATTTCACCAATGGACCCAATTTTATTTTCTTGATTGTCTCTTCAGTCTCCGGCGTAGTACTGACTTCCGCCGTAGTAACTTCAGCCTTACGGCATTCACACTGTGCTTTGTCAGTACAGTACAACTCGTGGTACGCACTGTCAAATTCAGCGTCTGCAGATGTCAGAATTTCATCCACCATTTCTA